ATGTTTAGTTCCTTTGTTCACTTGTTGTGACCGATAAACTAGAATTGATTACAAATTATCGATATTTCTGACAGAGGTATACTTTTGCCTTTGGGATGCTGGAAAATAAATGAAATTTTGAAGAACCATAAAGTTTTTATTTATTCAATGATTAGCAGACCTATATTAGATACTCATAACAGTGATTTTTGTTTTTAACTAAAGCAAAACAACTTTACCACGTTCCAAATTCAACGGAAAAATACTTTTCATATTTTATTATATTGCATAATCTATAATATAAAAATGAATCGCAAAATGTGTGCGCATAACTCAATAACGCATGGACCAATTTGGCCAATTCTTTTTTTTAAATGTTTGTTGAAGTCCAAGGATGGTTCTCACAGCGAGAAAAAAAACGAATAATTGCCGGAAAACCCCTAAAAACAGCCTTTTTCTTTTTCACATACAAACGTTAGAATTTTCATATTTTTGCCATCGGATACGGAATATTTACTCAAGTCAATGGAGCGTTTTGGGTCTGAATTTTTTTACTGTGCTTCAATTCGTATGAAATTTTGAAATTAGGTTTATCTTACTCTCAAGTTAAAAAGTGAAAATAATTTAGACTCCTTTGCCATTTCCAGGGGGGATGACATCCTTCTCAGTGGTGTAAATTCATTTTTTTTAAAATAACGTCGGATATCGATAAAAGAACTAATTATAAGAAAAAAATGTTTTATAATGTTTTTCAAAAAAGCATACTTATCATTTTATTTGAAGCAGTTGTACATTTAAGATCCATATGGATGGATGTAAATTCGGTATAGACAGTGGTGTAAAAAACATAATTTTTACCTAATCGGTAAATATTAGTATAGGTTATTAAAAAAAAAATGGAACTTTTGAATTGTAAACATAAGTACAGGACAACGTGTGTCGGGTCATCTAGTTCATTAGAGACACATATAAATTAATTTGTTATTTATTTATTTAGCAGTCCAAAAACATCTAAAAATAAAAATCTATAATTATAAGCTAAATTGAAAATTTCTATTGTACACGTAGGTTTAATTGCAAGAAAAAAACTCCACCAGTTTTTTGCGATATAACTATTCATAATAAAGCATTGAATGTAATGATTTGATATATATATATATATATATATATATATATATATATATATATGGGTGTGTGTACAATAATTATTCAAATGCTTTCAACCAATGTACAATTTTTTTTAAGATTTCAATAATCCTAATAATTAATTCACCACTGCTATTCACCAATATCTATGTATAATTGAACACGAATATCAAATGCCTAATAATGAAGTCATCCATTACAAGATGAATAGTTAAATTTTAAAATAAAAAAAACATGTCCAGGAGGCAATTGTTTTTGAGGCATGTTAATGAATCAAAAAGCACTTTGTTATAGATCGCCTTTAGTGCAATCATATTTTGTTCCGGATGTTATTAAAATAACTTGTAAATAAAAACTCAATCTGTGTTTTAAAATTATCATTATGTGTATGTTGCAAAATGCCATTTGTATATGAGGAAGTCATTGCCGTAACATACAAGTTACCGGATGAAAAGGAAAAGATATTTTCTCTACAATTAATGAAATTATATGTGAAAGCCTTTAGATATAGAAATGATATAGAAATATGTTGAATAATTATAAATGGTATGTGATATATTTTTAACTTTCCGTAGGGTAAATTATAGTAATCGCAAAAAAATCGAAATTGAAATTTTTTATATATCTTAACGTTTTAGAAGTTTCTGAACATTTTGGCATACCTTAAAAAAAAGTGATGTATGTGTGTGTATATATGTATGTATGTATGTATGTATTATGTATGTATGTGCTGATACAATTTTCCGTTGACGATTTCGTGAACACGGATTTTTGGCCAAGGCAAGTCCAGCTGTTTCGAAGATAGGGGGCAAAAAATGCCAAAATGATGACTCAGTTTTTAAGAGAAGTCCTAAAAACTGAACGGAGCATCCGATTTTAATGATTCAAAAAACATTTTTTGGGAAGGCAGGTCCAGCTGTTTCGAAGTCCCAATGAAAAAAGTAATGAACGTGCTATTTGACGGTCAAAAATGATCATTAGTCATATGCGCAACAAATTATCAGATATTTTATAGAGATTTGGTTAATAAGTGTAAATTTTGTTTACATTTCTATGAGTTCCGTATCAATATTCATAATGTTTGTTTGACCGTTATACTGCGACGCGGCGCTTAGGCGCTTTGATATCTCGTTTCTAAAATAGCTATACAGCGCGATTGCTTTGAAAAAAAAATGGGATTTCTAAAAACAATCGAGATTAGTCCAATTTTTCCAAAAATTTCAAATTTTTTTCAGTTTTCAATAAATTTTGAAGCTTTTAAAAATTGTAAATTACAGTACGCAAAGTGTTAGCCATTTATATATATATATATATATATATATATATATATATATATAATTAAAAACAAAAAGTTTTTATAGGCATCCATTCGCATTGCAAGATGGTTCTCAGTTATATATTATTTTCAATTTAGTTTTCTAATTCTTGTTCATAATGTCTGGATTTTATTTGTATTTGCAAATGAAGTACTGTCGACTGAAAAAAAATTAAATTGGTACATGAAACATATGGAAATTTATTGAAAATAAATTTAAAATATTATTTTGATTTATTTTTAGTAAACGGATGAGTGCTTTTGAAAACACTTATTTTCAAATATCAATCGGAATAATTTTTAAATATACATGTGTGTGTTCGTATATAGTGTTTTCTTTTTATTTTGTCAAATTAAGTCGTTCATTACCGCATACAGTTTTTTCCCTGTTGTATGCATATGCACATTATTTTTTTTTAATTTTTGTTAATCAAATTCAAGATACATCATGAATTGAAGGTCATGTTGTATGTAAATAAGAAAAAAGCAAAGAACATAGCAATTACAAAACAAATTGAAAATTATTTCTATTCTATGATCAGGATTTTCCCTTCTATCATATGAAAACTTGTTGAAATCAAATGACGCACGTACGTAAATATTATTTTTTGATCTTAACTCGTTATGTTTGAAGCAAATTTTCAATATAAAATCAGTATTTCAAAGGTCATTTAATATCAGTGTTATATATATGTAATCGTCTTACATCTTTAAAATGATCTTTTCGAGCTTCCCAATGAGATCAAGTGAGTTTACTAACAGAAAATTAATATACGTGTTATGCAAATTCATTCAAAGCTATTCGTTTCAAATTTGCATCTAATTAATATTGATGTTAATTCAGGCATATTTTTGCGTATTCTAATGTCAACTCAAAACTTTCTACTGGCATCAAATATTTTAGTAACATTTGAAAAAAAAATTAATAATATTATATTATTATTTATTTAGTTTTAACAACAATGAGAAGTGTCTCAACGAGTTCTATGAGCTGATTTCTTAAACCACGTGGTTTTTTATAGATGGCAACCCAAATGGTTGTTTTATCTCTATGTGATGAATTTTTAATAGTACAATTTCTGAAATAATTATGAAATTTTCGTTGATGCAACAATACTATAATATTTTTTCTTGGAAGCATGTTACTATCCATATTTTCAAGTCAAGATGTCACTACTACTTCAAATCAGATATCGAACCTAGGACTCCTGGCTGGCATCCTATAGCTTTAACTACTACTTTATGGGAAAGTCGATTATCTATTCTATTGATTCAAATATATTTTGTATATCATCGTGCCTTTGCACAAAAAATGTAATCTCGTAAGAGTACGTCCGTTACATCAGACATAGTTACATAACGTCAACGTCTAATTCAAGTCGAACATTGAGCAACTTGAAATCAGGTTTTGAATTAATATTAATACAGTTGATGGTTTTTGTTAATATTTATATTTTTTCATATTATTCTGTTGGTTTGTTTCTAAGTACATTTTTTTGTCAATATCGTTTGACGTCGTTGGCTACGACCATGAACTCTATATCTAGACACTCCCGATCAATACAAAAATGTCCTTCACGCGGAACTGTTAAGTCCTCAAACGTAATGTCTTCTCATATCTCATACAAATGAGAAGTCGTCGTGACGAGTCATTAGAGGGCGCCTCGCACTTTCGTTGTATGCGATCAGAAAATTAATTTGTGCGTGCAATCGAATTTATCAATATGCGATTTTGTCCTTGTTTTGTATCATACGAAAGCTTATTATGAGGTCATTTTAGTCAACCATGAAGTTGCTCCGTTTTACCTCTCGAATATGTTGATTCACATCGCAATCATCGAAAAAATAACGAAAATTTGTTGTATCAACTTTAGATAGATTTTTAATAAATATTTCTCTATCTGTTTATAAACAATGCGGGTCTGCATAAATTATCGTGAATTCTCATTCACGATGCCGATAGCGTAATTTTTCTATTAAAATGACGTTACCAAGCGAAACCCGTTATAGTGCGAATAGTGTATTCTGTGTAGAAACAGGTTTGCATAGTATGTCAAAGCAAACTTTTTAACAACCACCTTCAAAACATGCAACATATATCGTGATCGGCTCGTGATTATTTCAGCATCTCATACTAATTATGCGTTTTTATGGTGTCTTATAATTTTTCGTTGTTTGACATTCCACGGTTTTGTCAGATGTTTTATTTTTATTGCTTTAGTTCATTTCACATTCAGCGGACATATTCGTTGTACAATACTACTATTATTCATGCAAACTGCTTAATTGATGTAATTTTAATTATAAAACTTCAAGGTCTTTATAATTAAGACAAAAGTGTTTATCTAGAGCTCATAATGAATTGATTCCGACGGCCCATTTTGTTCGCACAATTCGCAGCATGCAATCGTCATTGTTACATCTGTATTCGACTGAAGCCGTTTAATGACATTCAATGTTGAGGTCACATTGAATAGTCAACATCTCGCTGATCGCGGCATATTCCAAACATCTATTCGACTGTTTGATCGGCTCATAACGAAATCTCCTTTTGTTTCAGACGCAGATCTGGCACATGCGATCTCATAAATTGGCAGCAATTATTGTCAATGAGTGTCATCTTGTTCGCATACGCGCTCTCATCACCATCGTCAGCGACAGTCGCGTCTGTGCCTAGGACGCGCGTACACCCGACAATGTTGTGCAGAAGCGGAGTCAGGGCTATTTGATAGTGAGCCTGTCCCTGGAGGCACTGGACAGCCAGCCTGCGGGGGACCCCGCTCAAGTATGCGCCGAAACATCTAGCGACCGCCCGTTCTGTGTGCCCCCGTGCATTGTGATCGCACCAATCGTGACCTGGTACATTGTGCCGTGCTTTTTCCACAGTGACATTGTTTTCGATTGCGTTAAAACTGGCGGTTTTTGTGATTGATGGAGCTTAAACTGTTACAGTTCGAATTCATTTCGACAAGGATTTTTTTGAACAAAATGTTGTTGAAAATCGAGAATTCACTGCTACAAAGTCATCGTCAAAGAGAAACAACAGGCATTAAGAAGTTATATAACTCCTTCTTCGTTCTGTTTTAACCGCCGTGCTTGTTTATACGTGTGTCTTCTTTGGCGTCGAAACTAGCTCTATTATGGAAATGAGTTTATAATAATTCTTGTGGAACATTGGCAGTTTTTTAAATTAATTTTTAGTACATTTCTTCATTAATCATTTATAACGATCGTAACTCGTTTTTGTCATTTTGCTTATGTAGAACTAGTTTAGATTTTGATATAGAAGTAGAAAAAACAAATAGCAGTGGGTCAAAAAGGGCCCGACAAAGTATTGCTAATGGATATACAAATGCCTGTTCGCAAGCCCTTTGCGACAGACTATATATCCGCTACTGAAGAAAACGGCGCGCTCGGTAACATATTTACCGAATTGTATGAAACCTTAGGCTTCTTAGAAAGAAACTACCAGCCATCTAATTGCACTGAGCAAATAAAAAACTTTTTGACCGGTTCTCCATTGGTATCTTTGCCAAAAACTATGGAGTTTTCTTTTTATGATCAAGCACAGCATGAAGTGAGCATTGAACAACAACCGACATGTTTTGAATCGGCAATAAATACAAGTAAAAACAATTGGGTTCCGATGGATGTTTCCTCAGACATGACAAACGGTCAGTACAACAACATCGAACCTTTGTACGTGCGTAAAACGGACCGGGTTTCTTATGATCATCAAAAGAAAAACAATGAATGCCAATCGAATGTGGCTTTGAGTGCTATTAAATCTAATGAAGTTTCATTAGTGCCTCGAAAACGTAAAATGGATTTTGTAGGTAATGAAAATAAAGTACAAATCATGTGTGATATTGGCGATGCGGCGCTACAAACCGAAAACGCTTCAAGAATTCTTCAGGAACAATTCAAGAACAATACAAAATTTGTAAATCGTAAGTATCGCACTGCATTTTGGAACTGATATCATTTGTCTATTGACCTTTAGTTTTAAAACGATCATTTATAGAGCCGAGAACTGTATGGCCTGCAGAAGAGCTTTCCTTGACTGATGACGAACTGGATAATTCCTATAATATAAGGTAATATACAGACATTTATATGTCAGAATTCTTAACTTCAAATATTCTACTTAATATTTGCAGTGATGCACTCTTAACCCTAACCAATCTTACGAGTTTAAAGCAAGAATCTACCTCACCAGGCGTCACAAAGATAGGTTCTCCTTCCACTGCAAATGATACAAGTTCGAGGCATAAAGAAAATAGGGATTCAAATGACGAAAATATTTGTTTCCAAGAACTTCTACATGGTCAAAAATCTCACGATTTAAATGGTAGTAAGTATGAATTGTCACACATGAAAATATAATTTATGAATAACTAAAGATTTAATATTTATTTTAAAAAATAGCTGGTAAACCAGTAGATCATTTACGAGAAGTTGCTGAAAATCAAGAAATAAATCCTCCAAAAGAAGCAGAAGCAAAAGATTGCAGGTACATGTAATATTTTATTATATATATTATATGCAAATGAATTTTTATATTAACATTGTAAATATATGTCTAAAATTTATTTTATGAATAGATTTCAATATGTTCTTGGCGCTGCAACTAGCATTGCAACGAAAATGAATGAAGAATCTTTGACGTACTTAAACCAAAGACAACCGTACGAGATAAAACTCAAGAAATTGGGCGATTTAAGCCCATATAAAGGAAAACTGTTAAAGGTTATTGTAACGTCCAATTAATAAAAATTACTGCAATCATTTAAGTAATTACTACTTATCATAATTTTAGACTATAATACGTATTTGTTTCCATGAACGTCGACTGCAATTCATGGAAAAAGAGCAGATCAAGTTGTGGAAAGAAGCACATCCAGGAGAGAAGATAATTGATGTATTTGAATATTTAATATTTTCACGCGTGTTGAAGATAACTTATCTAATCCAAAGTTATTGTTTTTATAGATTGATGTTCCATTATCATACGGATTACACAGAATTGTAAAACAATCTTCAGATAATAGTGTAGAGTTGTTATGGGATCCTATGAAGGAAACCGGAATATATATAAAGGTATATTGGAAAAGATACTTGTAAATCATTAATTGTAATATAGATTTTTTAATAATTTATTTAATTTGTAGGTGAACTGTATATCTACAGAATTTACACCCAAAAAACACGGTGGAGAAAAAGGTGTACCGTTTCGTATCCAAGTTGAAACGTATTTATCGAAGAGTGACGATAATTTTTCAGATGTTGGAAATGCAGAATTATTACATGCAGCTTTTTGTCAAGTTCGAGTACGCAATCTTCCAAGGATATATCATTTGCAATGCTTTATGTCATGATTATAAAACGAAATATACTTTTTTAGGTGTTTAAACTAAAGGGTGCCGATAGAAAGCACAAACAAGATAGAGATAAAATTATGAAGAGATCGGCCCTGGAACAAAAACGTTACAAGCCGAGCTGTGAATGCACTATTTTAAATACTATGCCTTGTGATCTGATTTTGGCTAATTATCCGCAACCGACTTATTACGATCAAAGGTAGTTGATTTGGATTTTGGATGAGCACCATAAATTTTGATTTTGATGGTTTCGATACCTTAGAACCGCAAACTTAACCCTTTTGATTTGAGAGTGTTTTCCGCAGGAGTTATGCTGCTTTCGAGCTAGAAAAGCGCCCATGTATTTGTTACGCAAAATATTTAATCACTATCGATAAAAAAGTATTTAAAACTGCGAACATATTTCTAAAAAACTAAAAACCACAATAACAAATTAAAATTCTCAATAATTTAAATCCGTGATACATATTTCTCACACTCGGTGTCGTCTATAGATGACATTCGTACACACAGATCGTCAAGCGCATGTCGTCTATGGACGACGCTTGTACCAAAAGTGTTATACCCATAGACCTTATACTACATGGACTGCTAGTCGAGCGCAAAATAAGTGTACAAAGATAGAAGGGACGGTGACGTCACTTACTGAACGAGCGTTGCCGACAATCGTGGAACTCTCTCGATTGATTGATGTTATATGTCGAATGTTTTATTTTAATAATATAATAAAAATTGTGATTTTGTAAGTGAAGTTTGTAAGAGTTCCACTATTGTCGGCAACGGTCGTTCAGCAAGTGACGTCACAGTCTTTTCTATCTTTGTACACTTAATGCAACGGAAAACATATGAGGACTAGCAGTCCATGTAGTATAAGATCTATGGTTATACCCACTATCAGTTTTTCTACCTTATATATTTTTTACTTATTTATTTCACGCTCTAGTTGGAAATGTTTATAATTCTCTTCTTGATTTCTTTTCTAATATTTACACAACAGAGGACTAGGCCCACGGAGCGCTTTACTTATTTGTTTCTAAAATTATGTATTCGCCAATTAGCATATAACCCTGCAACCGAAATTTTTATTGACTGGCCAGTTTTAGTTTAGTGAACTTCGACTATGGTTCAAAACAAACAAATAAAAAACGATCTTATTTATTTTAGAAGTCCTTCGCCAAATAATGATGCCATTATACCTAAAACGTACAACGGAACGGATTCCGACCCACTTAATAATATAATTAACTCACCGTCGTCCGTTCGGTCGGAGAATTCACCTGGTGAAGATATTGTAAGTATCATATGTTTTATTATTTTGATACTGAAACAATAATAAGTTATTACCAGTTTACTGAGGTTTATGCAATCCTGCAATTTTTAGCCTTTATCTCAAGACACGAATACCGAAAGGATGTCTCAATGGTTGCAGAATAATCGTTTCTCGGCGTATTTGACAACTTTCAGTCACTTTTCAGGATCTGATATTTGGAGGTAATTTGTTTTTTTAATTCAGCATGGATCCATTTTTACTATACCATATCAAACGTTATATCAAACGTATATCTAATTCTCTATACGCTGTGGAATATGAGGAAGAACTGAATTGTGGTGTTTTGGACCATAGGGACTATAATCATTACAAGAGGTGTGATACTTATGACTTACTAAAATAAAAGTATCGTATTAATTACTCAATTTTGGTATTTTGGCTGGTAATGGTATAGTAAAAAAGCAATTCACTACCTTACAACTTTTCATATTACCTACGCATGAAAAATATTTTTAACGAAAATCTTTTTATTTTTACTCTAAGTCTTTCACGTGACGATTTGATTCAAATTTGTGGAGTCCCTGACGGAATTCGGCTATATAATTCGCTGCACTCTAAGTAAGTCAATTACACAAAAAGGAGAAACAAAATATAGTTCTATTGACTACTTTCATTATTGAAATAATTATTTTCAGAATAAAATGTACTCCACGTCTAACCGTTTACGTATGTTTGGATACGTCGACTCCTTGCAATGCAATTTATTTGCAGACTTTGACTGCAGCTGAATTTATTCTAAAAGTTCGTCAATTTTTGTGTTCGTCCAAAAGCTCGGATAATACTCAATCTAATGGCGATGATAACGAAGAATCGTATTTGAAGCTGCCTATATACATTATAGGTAAATAATAGATCTTATTTTAAAGTTGTGACCACAGAACTTCAGAAAATTATTCATAATTTAACGTTTGTCCTAAAAATTATGATTGGTTTGTATGAGTTTTGTGGTTGTAAAATTATTTTTTCTTCGGCATTGAAGAATAATCTGCGAAAGTTCAAGCTTTCGAAGATTAATTCTTTAGTGCCACGTGCAATATATTATTTATGATTACTCGTTATTTTGTATAACCAGGACCTGGTGGTATCCACGTTGTGATCACAAACGAACTTGTCGCCAACATACAAGAGAAGACTATTTTCACAATCGTCGTTGAACGTGATAAAATCCTTTTGAAGGACATAAATCGTCATGATTAAATTATTTAATATACAAGGTGTACAGGTCACAATAAATAACACAACTCTATTACATTATCATTAACGATTTAAGTTGGTTTTAATATTTTGCAAAACAGGTAAAGGACTTTTATTTAATTTTTGAGTACCCGATGATTTTAAACATTTTTTTTAGTCAGGAAGTCATCTTTGACTTTTAAAATAGCATTTTATTTAAATTTGGATTTCTTTAATGTAATCTTTGATTAAATGTCGGCTTCTTCGTTTGATTTATCTCTAATTTAATTTCTGAGTTTATAATATAATATGTTTCGTGATTCTCTATAATCTTATACATGCCATTTTTGAAAGCTATTTTTATATATAATAGTGTTAAGGAAAATAAGCCATAATAATATGATAGTCATATTATATTTTTTTGCCTAATGTAAGAAATTGTCATATTTTGCTGTTGAATTTATTTCAACATATTTGGTTATATATATGTATATATGTACCTAAAAGGATATGATGTCGACCAATGCTTTTTATATAATTAAATTTGAGGTGAAAAACCCAAATTGTTCTATTTCTTGCCGATTTACAATTCGTATATTTCGGCTCACAATTAGAAACTAATCGTGTACAAATCGTAGTATAATATTGCTACGATTCGAGGCTTTTGCTGGATCTTACAAATTAGAATCTGATTAGATTTCAATTTAAAAATCACTTGGAGATTGCCTTGCCATCGAAAAATTTATTAATTAATTAGCCATATTAGAAATAATGTCGGGTCTGCTGGAAATTACGTTAATAATAAAATATATTATTGTTTAAAAAAGAAAACTTTATTATAATGTTAAATAAGATATTGTTGTTATATTAGTATATATATGTTAGATGTTTAATAAGAGTAAATCTATGTTTAAATAATTAGGCTGGATCAACGTCTTTTTATAATACCGGTTATATACACCGTCATAATTTTTTTTCGATTAGGAAATTAATCTTTTTTAATTAAATTTTTCTATTCGTAAGTAGATTTTATCACGCACAATGCAATAAAAAATCCTATTACAATTATTTGGATTTTAAACACTTTTTGTAATAATAGTAAGATATATTTTTATATATATTTTTATAGATTTTTAAATAATTAAAGTGAAATAGTTCACAAACAATACGACCAAATTAGTTTTGAGGTTTCCTAGTAAATTACCACAGGTTTCGCTGAATTTATGGACATAAGAATATTTTAGTAAAATATATATATTCAGTGTTACTCAAATTAACTGTTAAATATAAATCATCTATTTTACACCGTTTTTTATTGTTTTAATTATTTGTTCATAACAGGCACTAACAGTACATATATAGTTATGATTCATTTTTCTACAATGATTTGTAATTCTTGCAATAATAAATTCTTAAGCCCAAGATCGATATAATATTACTTTTGGGGGATTATTTTTTGAATACAATAATTTGGTTTGGAATTGTATTAATTCATGTAATTTATATAATGATGAATATCAGGTATATCGTGCAAAGTAGCAGGTGAACACACTAACCAAAACTTTCCGATGCCGTTATGTTTTTTACCTATCACATTATTTCAGGGGTGCATAACATTTTTAATCGTGGATAAATTTCTTGATATAATTTTTTATATTTACTAAAATTAAACAAAACTAGTGCTGCATGGCATCTTGGCTTAAGGCAAATTGCTGGGACTTCCGGTGCCGTAATGAAATATTCGAAAAATATTAAATGTTTTCAAATAGATTATTGTGAATATTGTAATATAGTCTAATATTTATAAGAATTATATTGACTGTAAAGTTAAAATTATTTATCTGAAGTATATAAGTGAGCTTTAGAACTTCAGCCAGAATTAAAATTAAAATTCGAATAATTTTTGAAAAAAAAAATTAAAAAATTTAAAGAAAAAATTCCCAAAAGCACTTGTTTCGTCAACAGAACTGCCATTTGTTGCACATTTAGCTCCGTATCTCAAGAACGGCTGGGCCTGCCTTTGCCAAAAACTATTCACCACTTCTCCCCATCATTACGAATTGAATGTTTCATAGATCATTCAAATCAGATGCTCCGTTCTCTCAAAAACTCGATTTTTATTTTCTGCACTCTTTGCTTCATATATCCGAAACGGCTGGACCTGCATTTGCCAAAAACTATTCAGCACATATTCCTGTCAATAAGAATCGGATGTTTTTTGAATCATTCAAATCGGTTGGACCATGTTCTCGAAAACGTGGACAAAATATTGTATCCACACACACGCCAAAGTGTTCAGAAAGGTATGCTAAAGAGTTCAGAAACTTCTGAAACGTTAAGATATACTAAAAAAAATCATTTTCCATTTTCGGCTCATTACTATACAGGAAGTTAATAAAACACATTTACATAGGCCACTGCGTTATATTTTTGGTTTTCATTGGTACATGTGGTTTTAGATTATAATTCATCCAATTAAATATAAAATTTTGAATGTGTTACAAATTTTCAACATCGTCTTCATAAAACATATTAGATCTTCAAAATATTTTCACACATTCTTATATAGTTTAGATAGAATTTTATTTTAGATAACATTTCACGAGTGTACTCAACAATTATATTTCAAATAGGTTAAAATCAGTTCTTTAATAACCAGATTATAAAATTTCATTTTACATGTATCAATATTGCTTCGAATAATTGTAGATTTTTTAATATAATTTGAAGGATATTGTAACACCGTACATTTAGAAGTTAAAACTTTTGTAACACGTCTCATGTAAATCTTAATTTTATAAATAAAAATCATGCCCTTGCGAAAATAGATAAAAAGATACTTGGCAATCATAATTAGTATTAGAAAATTATTTAAAAAACAGTTAAATATGTGTAATAATCAAAGTATTACTTGTTGCGTTAAAATTTAGTAAAATTATTTCACGATATATTTTGTTCTCAAAGGTTTCGAACACCTGAATGTACTCACATGTTCAGACGTGTATCTGGATTTATTCAAATGTTAACAGGTATATGCGAACTTTTTCGGAGATTTTATAGAATAATTAATCTTTTATGGAAATTTACTAAATGTTACCTAAGTTGATAAAAATACAGCCAACATTACATGACAATTTTTATCCAAGATCGCTTAAAGGGCATTTTCTTACAGTACATTATAATTGATTTTTAATATAACATATTATAAGATAACGTTGATTGATTTATAATATAACATATTTTAAAATATGGTAATAATAATAATAATTATTATATAAATTTCCGTAGGTAAAATAAATAATAGACGTAAATACTATATAGTTTAACAGATATATAAATTTGACCAAAAATATTATTATATTAATTCATAGAGTTGTGCTTTTGACTAGTAGTAAATATTTCTGTTATAAATTTAGTAAACGATTAGATACTAAAAGATATAAATAAATATAATTATTAATAAATAGAACACAATTATGATCTATATAAAACGTAAAATACTATCAACTAATACTTTGATTTTTGATAATTTAATAGCAAAAAATGAATTTTTATGCGTGATATGTAGAATAAATATGTACATATTCATCAGACAAAATTCAATTTTTTGGACTTAGAATATTTTATTACTATTACAAAATAAATACACAAATTATTTGTCAAAATTTAGCATCTACTTGTACCGATAATCGAAATAAAAATATGTGATCTTATTCAGACTGTCATCGATCATTTCAAAAAAACCTCGCACAACTCTATTTTTTAGTTTTGTTCTCGTTCATATGAATAAATTTAAATCTACTATCAATATACCTATTTTTTCTCAAATAATATAATAATCAATTTAATACTGCCGTCATAAGATTTAACATCGAAGTTAAGATTGATGTTAAAAAATATTGAAACCATGACGAATTACGACACTGAATAATTTCACATTTAGATATTGATGACTAGAAGATTATTACAAAATACGTACAAATCAGTTATCCTGATAAATAGTTAAAGAGAATTCGGTACATTATTAAGTAAAATGATTTACGTATGATAATTATCTTAACAATACTTTCGACTTGACGAAATTCAGTTTTAAAAGTCAAAATTTATTTGGGCGACGGTAAAATTTTAATAGAATTGTGGTCGATTTGTTGCTGGTTATGAATTTATTATTTTTAACCCCTTCCACCCGGATGCCGCCGCTCCGGCGGCAAACATATAAATCTCGCAATTCGTGAGTGGAAAGGGTTAATTTATAATTGAAGAGCTAGCAACGTTTGACGAAGTTATTGTGATTTTTTTTACCAAAATACTTGGAAACCCTTGAATAATTCTTCAAATAAAAAAATAAACCCCTAATGATTTAATATGACCGTATTCTTATTTCTTAGACCTTTGGGTAAAGTTGGACGTATTTTTGGGTTAAGAAAAAAAGTAGGGGTCCAAACAATAGAAATAGACAAAATTGAATATCACACGTGTGATATTAAAATAATAAAAAAAAAATTCATCTGGGGTGAAAGTTTTATTAAATACATAAATACTGAATATTTTTATTTAGTGTAACAACATTTCAAATTACCGAATATCATTATACATTTTTTCGGAAATTTACTTCTGCTCATTTTTTTTTATTAAATTTTCGTGGTCTAAATTTATTACACAATGGTCAATCTTTCTATAACGCGGTAAGAACGTACCGTGTAATACGAAAACCGCGCTATAACCGGAAAGAACTAGTACCGCGTTATAGGAGGTCTGTCGCAATTTCAGCTCCGCGTAATACGAAAACTGCATTATATGAGGGTTGAATGCATTATATACAGTTTAGCCTTATGCAATTTTTTTAAAGGTCAAAATTTCTCAAAAAAAAATATCTAACGTAATTAATGGACGTTTTGAATGTTGCTAACAGTTCAATTCTGCAATATAACTTAAAATAAAAAGCTTAGGGTTTGCCGAATTTGCACATAATTAGTACTAAAATATTATTTTCGAAACCAAAATGAAAAATATCTTGTTTCGTCGTAGATTATCAGCAATTTTATGATTGTGTGCTTATTAATTATGGAAAATTAACATGTTTATAGAAGGCATTGACGTGTTGTTTTAAAATTCTTGTGGCGTATATGTCTTTTAAAACATCCTGTTGTGTTCGTAAATGTTATGAGTTGTTTGATGGCGATCATTCTTCATTTATCTGATGATAAACAATTTCTTATTAACGTTAATTAACTATAGAAGTAATACATTCATTTTAAAATTATTTGGTTGAGTATTGTGTAATCGATCATTAGGCAATGCCGTAATTATTAAGATATTTTCGAACTACGCAAATATATTACTAGCTGAATGTTTTCTTAGCTCTTCACTGTTTTGGAATTTCAAATTTCGGAAACGAACATCCTGTAGAATTTACTAAACAAATCGATTGTTAAATAATTAACATGCGTTTTTAAGCACTAAATATGATTTCAATTATTGGAAATAATATTTAAGGCAATAATTAATACTGAGGAATTTGCAAGAATTTTTATATCGTACAGTAGTAATGCTTTTTTACTAAAAAATCATTGACACACAATATAAATATTTGCGATCTAATTGCATCGCATACAATTTTCCTTGCATTAAGTTTAGAAAATTGCATATTAATATAAATTTCATATGGACATAAGTATCCATTACTGAGACAAATAATAAATCAGGATACGTAGACATATTTTTAATTTGTAATTCGTAAAAAACGTTTAACCCTTTTGCTACAATCGTCGCCTTTAGATGACAGACGACATGTGTGTACGGGTGTCGTCTATAGACGACATCGGGTATGTAGGTTTTGTTTTAAGATTTATCACTCTGACTTAAATTATCTAGAATTTCAATTTGTTATTGTAGTAGGGGAATTACGGGAAAATGGTATATATGGACCATTTTCGATTTTGATCACTTTCGGTTAAAATGGCATGCTTATACAACGGACAAAGTGACATAGTACGATTTCATTGTCCCAAAGAGGGCCAAATGATTTATTTGTAAGAAGCCTTCTTAAAAATAAGGGTCTTAGCCAGTTTTTTTCCTATATGTTATTTTGTCCTTATTATATGGACAAAATGGTTTGTGTAACTGATTCATAGACCAACCACTACATGGACTGCGAGTCTTCATACGTTTTCCATTTTATAAAGTGTCAAAAGATAGTAGTGACGTCACTTGCTGAACGAGCGTTGCCGACAATCGTGGAACACTCCTGATTGATTAAATGTCATATGTCATGTGCTTAACCTCAAAGTAAATTGTTTATGCTCGATTTGCATAAACAATAGTCGACTGATAATTCTGTAAGAATGTTGATAATAATATTATTTCCCCTATGAAATAAATGAACATAAAATTCAATCCACCTCTTAAAATCGGTTTATATATTATAAGGCTTAAGTATATGACGTTTAATCATTCAGAAGTGTTAGAGAAACCAGTGTTATACTACATGGACTGATTTTTCTTCACAACAATTTACCAATTTCAAGCACAGGATTTAATTTTAGGTGATTTAGGCACGTGATATATGGCATATGATATTTAATCAATCGGGGGTGTCCCACGATTGTCGGCAACGCTCGTTCACTAAGTGACGTCACAGTCTTTTTCTATCTTTTGACATTTACTTTGCGCTCGACTAGTAGTCCATGTAGTGTAAGGTCTATGAATTGATTTTTTCTTCATAAATATTATATATTATTATATTTCTAACACTAAGTTACTGGTAGTCAATGAATCAAAGATTTGTAAAAACAATTGAGACTGGATATAATCTCAGTAAATAAAAAAAAATTATTGATAAACAAAACATGTCATTTTGTCAGTACTTTCTCTATTTAGTCCTTTAGAAGAGTAATTTTTAATGTTTGTTATTCATACAGATTGAAATATGTCGTTCAATAAATACTGGTGCGGCTTGCTGGCTCGTACAGCAATGGCACCCTCGTAGCGAAAGGGTTAATAATGATGTTATATAAATTTAAGTAATAAAAATTCATGCAAATTTCTGATCAAATAAGATTTATGACAGAGAAAAGAAATTCTGAATTTATCCGACACCCCAGCGGTAGAGCAAATTATCTGAATATCATTGTATGTCTTCAGTATTCGTGTATATGTTGTATCGGGATAACGCATGGCGAACATCTACACATAAAATCCCATCAAATATATTTTTCTCTTAAACTAAATATTGCATTTCTAATAAACTCTAATTGAATTAGATAACAACTGACACTCTCAAAGGGATGCCTTACATCTTAGTTCTGCGCCGCAACGGCACTAACAACGAAATACTAATTCTATACTCGTACCATATATACATATATACATATTATTCTTCATACACAATATATATGTATATATATCTACTCATATGTATATATATACTATTTAATATTACATTTATTATTTATATTTATATATATTTATATATAGATTCTTTATGATATGCAACTTGATATGTATGCGATATATTTTCAGTTTCTGGAAGGATAAATATTTGATATGTATTCGGTTCCGTTCCGTGGATATATGTTTTTTAAGCTTATTTAGTTATACATGAAAGCAGTATACGATCACAATTTTTCTTGTCATATACTTATCTTTACAATACTATATAGTTCTATCAATTATACTCTATATTTCAATGACTTATCGAGACAGAAAGTCTACATCGATGCCATCATACCTGTTTCAAAATTGTTTTACCATTTGTTGTGTAATATAATAATTAACTAAATTTTCATTAAAATTTTAAAATATAACAACTTTGGGTAATATAAATTATTTTTGTTCAATTTTAACAAGCATGCATAAGCATATGCAAATTATTTAAATAGTTCAACATTTATAGTGCATTTTTTACTATCACAAATGTATATTTTTGCCACATTGAGGTCATGTTGCAATATAAGGACCTTCAGAATGTACATAAAAAACTAGCTTTTTTGCATACACGTTTTTTTGCATACACGTTTCTTTTCTAACTTTAAATTATAAACTAAAAACTAATATACTCGCTTTTTTCATTTTTAATTGAAATAAAGATAAATGATACCAGTATCTGAAATCATCAAAAGTGTGTGTGTCATTTATACGCAATTTAACGTAGTAAAACTTCAAGTATCTTGTAGAAATTTTAAAGTACGAAATTACTTATATTTTATAAATTATTATAAAATTATTTTAATATAACGATTTATATATCTTTATTTGGTCTTTTCACTAATGCAAGTTAAAGATATATTCACAAGGCCAAGAAATAAGTATTTTCACCTTGAATACTTTATTTAGTTATTTATAATTGTTATATATTTTTATCTATGCTTACGCCGATGATGACCACTCGCGAATTTTAAGATTAATATGGATTTTCGCATCCGAGTGGAAAGGGTTAAAGTTTATCTAGTTCCAAAAAAGAAATATTTATGCAAAAATCAAGCTTTTCTCTTGATATTTAAAACTTTTTTCATTATCGGTTTTAATTCTAAACAATGTATTTTGAAACTAATTTATAATTTATTAAAAGTAGCCATGCTCCACACGTTGTATAAAATTATTCTAAATACGTTGGCTTCGGTTGTTTGTCCTGTGGTAATTATTTGATGATGAATAATTAATTAATTATGTGTGTGTAAATATTTGTATGTTTGTGTGATATTTTACGTGTTTTTATGTTTTACCTGACCATTGAACTCTCAGACACTCAACTTTTGTGCGTACGCTTTTTTTCAATGGTTTTTAGTAACAAATGAACAAACGTATTTAGATAATAGTTCTGGCATCGATTTTACCGATTCTTCAAAATATATACTCTTTATAAACTTGCGATCTATTCCATTTATAAATTTGTTTTTTGATGATATGTATTTGAATTATGTACATTTCAGAAATTGTATGTGGTTATTATTTTCAGTATTTCTGAATTCGTTTGAAGTGACTCTCACAGTCAGTCTATTTAACACGCTTGAGTGTACACTATATTTCCACTTATTTTATAAATACAGGTGTATATACTTTAATTTGTTCCTTATTATAAAATGTTTAATTAATCATACTTTTATTTATAACATCTCACTATAATATGTATATCAGTGCAGGTATAATACGGAAACTGCATACGGATCTGTGAATTTTAATCGTACAGTGAATTTGGGATTTTGAGAAATAATATACAAAAATATTGTTAAAACAAGGATTCTAAGTTGATCCGCAGTACAATTTCCTTTTTTAATATACTTATACCTTACAAATACTATCTTATTATTAACTTTACTATCACTTCTACTTGATATGTATCTTGTTGAAATATTTTGTATATTTTCATTGATATGTTTTGAATGTGTGTTTTTACTATCATTTCCTGTATTACCATTTTTACTCATGGATAATTTACCCATTGATATGATATTAACGGTAAACTAACCGTAATTGTTGCGATGAGAATGTTTTATCATGTAATTTATACATTTTTAGTGAGTTAAATTGTTCGTGTTCAGATTTTTTCGGAGTACAAATTTTATGTAGTTTAATACAAGAAAGCGAAGTATTGTCTTTAGAGTCTCCGAATTATGTTTACCTTAACTTTTTAGTGTAATGAGTTACTAAAAATAAATAGTCTTGTATACTTAAATTTTTGAACATGACAATATAATAACTAATTTCAAGTTTTTAAAATAAAGTCGCGCTTTTTATATATACTCAAATGCTTAATTTCAGACATAAACCTGGATTCAATGATTTTATGAATATTTTCATGAACTCAATATATTTTTTTATGCAATGTATAGTTTGGCAAAAATGCTGTAACAACGTTTTTTTTATTACAAACTGCACAACTTCATTTTAAAAACCGTAAATAATTTAACAAAAATCTAACGTACTACATTGATATGTTTTAGTTTAGTTATATAGGTATTCATTAATATCGTATTGTTCTTTTTTCTCTTAAAATGCGGTTTGTACTTGCTTGGGTGCAGGCCTGGCCGAATCCTGCTTCGAGCCTCCTGCACACAATTGGCGCAATTGCTGCACATGCTCTGCGTCCATATCGTCATCAGGTTCTAGTGCAGGATTTATTCTGCCGTTCATTTCATCTTTGCCAACCATTGTAGCGGCACCATACATTGCTCCCATTGCTCCTGATGCCATCACAGACATCTGGAGGAAAATTAGATTTTTAGAAACATTAGAGAAAAATTATATTTCAGCACTAATAGTCACTAGCATATATAAATAGGAAAAAAATTGCATATATACAGTAAAACCCCGTTAAGACGATTTCTCGGGGACCATATTAAAAACGCGTCTTAAGCAACGATATGAATTATAAACAAGATAGAAATGGGGATAATAACGTACTTATTATTAACTACCCGTAGGCTAAGTTATTTATTTTAATGGGCCGAAAATCGAAAATGAAAATTTTTGCATATCTTCACGTTTCAGAGTTTCTGAATATTTTGGCATAAATCAGAAAAAATGGATGTGTGTGTGCCTGTGTGTGTTTTGTGTGTCTGCAATTTTTGGTGCACGTTTTCGGGGGCACGGATCAATCGATTTGAATGGTTAAAAAACATTCGATACTTATTGATAGGAAGATATGCTGATTAGTTTTAGCAAGGAATGCAGAAAATAGAAATCGAATTTTTGGGAGAACGGAGTATCCGATTTGAATGATCCAAAAAACATTAAATTTATAATGATTGGAAAAAGTGATGATTATTTTTTGGCAGGTCTGTCCATTTCGAAGACACAGAGCTAAATGTAAAATAATGGCAGTGTTGAGAGAACTAGCATCCGATTTGAATTATTAAAAAAAACTCTGCTTGTGTTGACAAAGCAGTTGCTTTTGGGAAAATTCTTTTATATAATATATATTTTTTGTCGGAAATATAAATATATATTTGAAGTGCATTTGATAACTCACCATACTAGAAAATGTAACCTTTCTGATCTGTCACAATTGGAACAGACCAGAATAGTCAATCTCTATCTACTTGCCTTACCAGACAACTGATTTTGCTAAAATTTGGGTAGTGTCTCTATCAATGTATCAATAACTTGTTTTACCACTGATTCTGATACTCCCAGTTGGTACCATGTTGTTGCAATTTTCAAAACGATCTATTCAGATATTTTAAACATCCAAATCAGTGATCTAGTAAGTCCTTAGGGCCACTTATGAGCAGATTTAAAGTTGGTGCTTAATGAATTCATACCACTAAATTTTTTTCCAATTTATCAAACTTCTTTAAATTTTGCTTTTTGTTACCTGTATTCCAACATGTAATTTTTTTTCTAAATTTCTACTCTATTCTTTAAAAATTTATGTAACATAGAACTTGGTAAGTGAAGTTCAGCCGATAACTGTATTTGATTTGTTTATTGCAATTTCTTAATCTTAATTTTATATTAACTATAACCTATAACTGTTTTCATAATCTCTCATACCAGGCTCTTCTGTCTGTCTGAGATATGAAAATAATGTATATATACAAATAAAAAAAAAATGAAGGCTACGTATTAAACGTGACTGCAAATCGTATTAAGCGTTAAAAAATATACGTAAATTACATAGTTCTAAAATTCAAGGGCTGATGTAAAAAAGCGTATTATGTAACAAATTGAATTAAGCGTTATTGCCTTAACGGGGTTCTCTCTACTGTGTATATATATATATAAAATATATATATATATATATATATATATATATATACATATATTTGATAATATATTATAATAATAGCATATAAACAAAAAATAATTTAATAAATACATAATAATAGAGCAAAATGAAATAAAACTCAAAATTCTAAAACTATATATTTTATTAAAGCTATCAATTAGTCATTTAATGACAATAAATAAAAGTAGTTAACAAGAAAATAATGATAACTTAATATATTATTTAAAAAATAATAACAAATAATTTCTTCTAAGTCCTCGTCGTACTTGATTTGTTTAATAATAATAATGGTTGACGATCACAATCACATTCAGATGATTTAATCCTAAAATACAATAACGATAAAATCAAAATGTGTAACAAAACTAAAATAATACTCAATTTTAAAAAAATCGTATGGATGTTTCTAATATGAATTATAAAACAGTTCTTTGAAATATGTTAATTAATTTAATTCGCAGCACAATGCAAATTCTATAGTAGAACTTATTAAATAAGCGATAATGCAATTTGAGTATTGAATTATATAACTATTGTATTTAATTATTCAATGGCGGTTGAAACAATGTGGCGTATTGAGATCTCGAATTTCTCGTAATTCTTACAATTAGTGTTTTAATGTAACAATGGCAGAATGTAATTGCCATGAAATTTGATGTATCAACAATATAATACGGTTTTCATAAATATTATGAACAAATTAGTACCTCTTTTACAAAATAATTGTTATATTACAGTGTGTGTTTGTGTGTTTTTCAACGCTGCGTTTTTGCTTAGCAATGAATGTGGAGTCACCTCTAAATTAAAGAAGTACAATTTGGCATGCATCTAAAATAAGATAAAATAATTATAATAATAAAACGAATAATAACAAAATTAAGAAAAAATCATAATTAAAATGTATTAATTAGATGAAAAGAGTAGTGGATGAAGCACTTACTTGTTCTCCATCTTCGGCTGGATCACCGACACGCTCGACGTCTTCAGGAATATTAACGACGCATCGGAAATAGTCGTATTGCGGAGCAAGACGGCCACTTTCGAATAACCATCTAAGAAAAGAATAAATAAAAATAATAAAAAACATTATATCAATATGCTAAAGGCATTCACTAAGGCAGATGAGAAAGGTGTCCTTATGCGCTGTGTTTCCTAAGGTACATCCTGAGGGCAACCCAGCGGGTAAACTTCTTTAATCCTTTGGGGACGAGCGTCGCATATGTGCGTTTTATGCAAATCTAAAACTGGCCAAAGATCTCATATATGCGTTTGGCGAAGGCAATTGTTAGAGCCGAGGAACGCATATATGCGTCTCACCTGAGTGCATATCGATGAGCGAGAAATTCAATGTTAATACGTCAAACTGAAGAATTTATAAACAAATAAACATATTATTTATCCTGTGGGAAAACCATATAATGTCCTGAATTTAAGTTGAAGCAAAAATATGCATTGGGTATTTTGAATTACTTAGGAGCACCCTGGTACAGTACACTTGTATCCGTCCCGTCCCCAAAGGATTAATATGTATACACTTTTTATACTAGATGTGTATATCTAATAGTACTGGCGTATATATGCTGTAGCAATGCCCACGAAAAGCGATTTCTACTTGAGGTTATATTTGAGATCTATAATTCCATGTGAAAATTTGATTTCATACTGCTGATATCGAGGTGATCGAAATTGGATCGAACCCGGGACTTGTTTGTACTAGCTTCTTAACTATTACACCAAGACGGGCTCGCGCAAGATCATAATAATACAATTGTAAGTTTTTGATAGTTTTTTCAATTGTCTATTTTATAAATTTTATCTTCTCATAAATATTCGTTTACTATTCCAGCAGCATAAGGAGAAACAATAGAAAATTAAATTTATCAACATACTTGGTTAGGAATGAGACCGAAGCCAATGTGAATAGTGACATGAGCATAGCCATGGTTCGGAATGGAAATAATTGTTTTTCTCCGTCCCAGCCTGGGTAGTGGATAGCCGCCGGCAAACCCAACATCGGCTCTCCTCCAGACATCCGTACGAAGAACGCGACTATATAGGCTGCCAAACTACCGTATGTATTGCAATGATGTTTGAAATGCACGACCATCAAAAGCTGCAACAAAACAATAATTTTTTATTATTGATATAATAGATCAATTAACGTCAAACTATTGCCGCGCGACACTTTTGCTGTAGGGGGAAGTCCCGTAACGCCGGAGGCACCTAAAGCCGGACACTCTATTTAACACGTATTATTTAAGCGAGTATAAATCTTTTTAATTCAAAATACAAGTGGAAGGGCTGCGGGGGGCACACAGATGCAGGATCACGCGCCAAGACTCATCTGTGACGTACACGGCCACGGCGGGAGCAACCCTTTGTTGTTTTAGGCGCAAAAACACGGCGTCACCTAAATATCAATGAAAGTAATTCTAGTGTTTTTATGCATTTATATTTTAGTGGCATTCAAAAATAAAAGTAGTACTTGATTGTTATCCGTAAAATGGTAGAATATTATTAGATATTTTTAACAATTTTAGTAGGTACCACCACGGACACTAAGTCGTCCCTTAGCGCCGGAAGTAAACATATTGATATTTTTTGTGAGGATTGACGTAATTTATTCTAATTATTCAATTTTGTTCTGTATGAGTGCTAACGGTCACTACATATCCCCATTTTTCGTATTTTCTAGTCAAAGAATCAAAATCTTATGATGAATCCAGCTGAGAGCATCGGTGTGGCCCAGCTAAAGGTGTGGATAACTAGTGATTTTTTTTGCAATGTCTAAGAATATTCGTCAAACACAAATGTGCAGACATTCTAGAGTGTGGAGATGGCTACATATGTGTTCAATGCTGGTTATTTTGAAATGTCCGGTACTAGGTGCCACTTTGTAAAATCATATTTTTTGTTACCAATGTTTGATTGATAGTATTAATTATTGTTTAGCAAAGATCGCGTTTTTGTTAATTTAGTTTGATTTCTAACCTTGTTATCTAACATAAGTCATAATTTAATAAACATTTTGTAAAATATTTTTTTATTTATTTATAAATAACCTTAGGTGTCCAGCACTCGGGGACTTCTCCCTACGTGTTTTTCTTACTGCTGCACTCACGATAATTTTTTCATAAATTGTTAATCAAATTAAACTTTACTTTATAAGTCTATGAGAACTAACAATATTACTGCGACATAAAAGCAAAAGTATCGGTATATTTTATACTTATTTAAAACTTGGCTTGATTCATTGGACAATTTGTAAACCCAATGACAATATGCTGAACGAATACACTTAATACACAAAATCGTTGTTAATTGCTATTATCGTTACAATATATGTTCTATAATTTTATAATGATTATTTTTTACAAATTCGGGTTTTATAGTTAAAACTTTGCTGCACGTTCCACAATTTCAACCAAACCGCACTACAAAAACAAATAAAAGAATTGACGCCTTTAATTGATATAAATGATTCGTGCCATAGGTACATGACACATTCTAAGTCTGCATTATGAAAAGAACATTTTAAGTTATAAGCATCACATTAATCGTTGACACCAATTGACTTCTATCAATTATTTATACTAGCTACACATGTGCTTTGTATGGTATCAAAAGTATTACGATCAAGGGCATCATTGCCAAATTAAATGTATTTCATACTCACTTGCGGGAATAGGATCACGTAAACTAAATCTGAACACATGGACCTGGGAATGGAAAAACAAAATTAGTCATTAATAGAAAATATATATTTTGAAATACAGTATTCAAATATATAATAATAATTTTACTAAAAAGATTTAGATCGGTTAACTTACCATAAACCATAAATAGACGGTATAGTGAGCGCCATAACAGTGGACAATACTCCTACAATACCAATGGCTATACGCATGACCCATATGATTTCCATTTCCGAAGCCCTCTGCCTGAAAATCAGCTTGTAGACATTTCTTGCAAACATAGAGCTTGCTGAAAGAACAGATGAATCCGCGGATGACATTACGGCCGCAGACACTGCGCCAAGGCCGAAGAATGATACAAAGTCTGGAGTTAAATATTGCAATACCATTGGCAAGATCATACTGCTTTCATCTTGAGTTAGAGGATATGGACCGGTGTACTCAGTTTCGTTCCATACTAAAAAAATAAAAGACTCATGATACTTAGTGCTAATATTATATGCAATAAAGCATCATCGGAACAAACTGCTAATCACCTGTTGCTTTGGCTATAGCTCCAATAAGAACTGGTGGTATCGCCATCAAGATGCACCCGAACGCTGCGACGTATGAAAGGATTTGTGCTCTGCCAGCTGTTTTGCTCGACAATACTCGTTGGAAATATACCTGTGAAAATATGATTAGAATTATGAAGATACATATATATGTTTACTTATCAAAAAAAATTTTTATGTAATTATTTATCAATTTACCTGCCAAGGAATGCCACCGAATACCAACAACAGACCATAATCGATATAATACCAGTATTCTTCAGGAGGAACCACACCAATCCAATCAACTTCCATTGAACTGAGTGACATGACATGCTCGTTGGTCCAAGCAAACGGTATGCACATCCAAAGGCCGATAAAAATGCAGAATAATTGGATGACATCCGTATAAGCTACGGAATAAAGACCGCCGAACAAAGTGTAGAAAACTGCTATACACGCGCTTAGAATTACACTAGTCCTGTGGTCCATGTCGATGATGACGGAAAGTGTTGCTCCTGGGAAATAGAGAATATAAGATTTATATAAATGCAAAAGTCATGTGTTGTGAAATCCTTTACTTAATTCCGCAATTATTACCAAGGGTAAAATAAACCAACAAGGAGAATTTACATGTATATGATAGATTGAAGTAAGTGCATTCAAACTCCTTCTTACTATTCTAATCATTGAGATATTACTCGATCTATAATATTTTCATGGTGAAGTACATTTTAGCAAATATACCGAAATTGTTTCTATATAAAACATATCAGTTTTATATTCTTGCCTTTAAAGATCAACACACTACGTTAAACAGCTTAGTCGACGTATGGTGACCTTACGGATTTTCAGTATGGATAATGAGATTAAACATTACCACGCTTGCATGTACATTTAATTTTTAGCCGTGAATTTAACTGCGACTAAATTTGCTCAATTAGTTGATATAAAAACTTATAACAATAAAAAAACACTAGTGGTGCATGGCATCGTGCCTTAAAGCAAATTGCTGAAACTTCCCGTACCGAAAACTAAATTATTAAAAACAACTTTGGAAAACTTTGACAAAATGGGATTTTTGAGAAATTTTGAAATTTTTGAAAAATATTGACTTTTTTGAAAAATTAGATTTGTTTTGATTTTTTTGAAAATTTTGAACATTTTTTAAGCAATTGCGCTGCATAGCTGATTTGGAGTCGCAATATCAAAGCGCGTAAGCGACGCGTAGTCGTCTAACGTATAAACATTGGTACGGAACCCATATAAATGTACACAAAATATGTACTTAGTATTATAATTTTTATAAAATGTTTGATAATACAATGTCTAATGCTCATTTTTGACAGCCAAATGGCATTATTTTTTACTTCCTTCATTGGATATCCGGAGGCGCTGGACGTGCCTTTACAAAAATTTTAGCAGTTGTTTATTTCGTCAATACAAGTAAAATGTTTTTCGAATTATTAAAATCGTACACTCCGTTCTCTCAAAAACTGAGCTACCGTTTTTGGTACTTTTGCCCGTATCTTCGAAACGGCTATAACTGCCTTGTCCAAAAACTAAGCACGTCTCCTTATCAATAGGAATCGAAAGATTTTTGAATCATTCAAATCGGTTGATTCATGTTCTCGGAATCGTCGACGAAAAATTGTATCCGCACATACATATACACACTAGGATGGTCCTTAAAATGGTCATTTTCGAATTTCCTTGCTCCCAGGGGCTCAAATGGTTCCAAATAGATAAAAAACAATTCTCTGAAAGTTTTAGCTCTTAATATTAACGTTTAGATAGAGCGCAATTCAATCAAAGTTTTGTATGGAAATAGCATGGAAAAATTTTCAAAAATTTTAAAAATGTTTTTTAGATGTAATGTAGCAAACAAATGAATGATAGAAACTAATTCATTTGTCACTAAGTTACACCTAAAACATTTTTTTTTAATTTTCAAAATTTTTTCCATGCTCTTTCCATACGAAGTTTGATTGAATTGCATCTAAACGTGCTAAACCTCATTGTTTTTCATCTATTTTGAACCATTTGCCGAAATGACCATGGATCACCCTAATACACACACACACATGCATTCATTTTTTCTAAAGTATGCCAAAATGTTCAGAAGCCTCTGAAACGTAAAGATATATAAAAAAATTCATTTTCGATTTCTTTGCGATTACTATAACTCACTCTACGGAAAGTTAAAAAATTCATAACAGCAAAACAATTAAAAAAAATTAAGAAAAAATAATATATTTAATGTTTTGAAAAACTAAGCAATTTCATTGATTTCAGCATTGAGTATATCCTCTATTACATTTTGAGTATGATCAAGTGTGTCTCACCCGTCATTTCAATCCAATAATAATGAGTTGCTGAATAGCGCAACCAACAAGAAATCCAGAAAGTGATTGATCGTTCTAATTACAAACGTATGAATAATAAATCACTAACGAACACAATGTCATATTTACCCAATGCGGCCAATATTCCGGCTGCCCAGAAAACTTCTCCACAAAGCGCCGGCAAGAAGAGCAGGCCGCCCATGCGTTCCCCGAAGCTGTCCTGCAACGGGTCCAGCATCGTAACGTAGCCCTGTTTGCGCATCTCGTTCGCGAAAAATATCCCACCTAATTCGTAATTCACACCGAGTTAATATAATTCAGCTAAAGACAATAGAGAACTTAAAAAAGCCTACAAACGACCACTTTTTTCCAAGAAAAATCCCGTTTTATTTCTGTACATTCCAACACTAATGCGCGTCGTCTAATCTTTTATTCAGAAGGAGATTTTCTTTTCTATCAGGCGTGTTTCAGGGCGGAGGAACATTAATAATAAATACGGTTCAAAACTGCTAATACTCAGACTAGATGTTCAGATGAAGAATTGTATATAAATGGCAAAGATAAGTTTGTTGAAACTCTGAAAACATCACAAGGAGAAATAATAAGTGCGAATGTTACAATGATTCTCGAAGGTATATTAGAAGTGCATTATTTATTATCAATTAGTACACGATAAATTTTATATTGCATGCGAATGAAACAATACATTAGTGGTAAGACATGAGCACGATTTAGGGCTTATTATAGTGGAAATGTGTTGTAGCATATTACGCCGACGATAAATTTTCATTTCGTAGGTAATATTTATGATATTACAAGGCATGGGGACGCTTTATTAAAAATTTTATATTTCAAGTCCAACCAATTTGTCTCAATTTTTTTATATGCGTTTGTTCAATATCATACTTTTTCATTTGGTAGGTAATATTTATGAAATTACTAGGCATGATGGGGGCGCTTTACTAAAAATTTTATATTCCAAGTCCAACCAATTTGTCTCAATTTTTTTATATGCGTTTGTTCAATATCATACATTTTCATTTGGTAGGTAATATTTATGAAATTACAAGGCATACGGGTGCTTTATTAAAAAATTTACATTCCAAATCCAACCAATTTGTCTCAATTTTTTATATATGCGTTTGTTCAATATCATACATTTCATTTTGTGAAATCAATACATGAAGATTAACAAAATGCATTATTGAAAAATCGTAATTATGATCATAAAATTTTTAAGCAACAAAAATGATATTTTAACAAATTATGTATATATTTAATTTTTTTAGTTGATTTGACTTGTTACAGAAATGATTATTCTATGTATATCGTTGAGGTCTTGACTTTTGTTTTACATTATCATTTTAATCTAAGTAAATATATTCAAAGACTTCATTTAATTTACGAATAAAATTTAATATTCTATAAATTTCTAACTTACCAAAAACCAAACTAAGAGCGTATCCAAATGGTGCTTGGCACCATACCAGACCAGATGTGTATATTGCCTCCGCCGTTCCATTTATGTATCCACCTCCGACCCAGGTAGCTAAAATGGTAAAAAATATAAGATTTAGCAATGATTTAGAGGGATTTTTTTTATTTGGTAGAACAAAAATTAGAAACTACATGTCATATTATAATCTGTTTTTGAAGACCTAATTCCCCCGAAAGGCTATTTTAACTTGAGATTGATGATCTCTGGTATCACACTGCTTGATACCAAGCTTGCCAAAATCACCAAACCAAAAAAGATCATCGTAAAGTGATTGTAATTCTTATGTATGTACACCTATCCCCCGTTGTACACGGTACTCGTTTTACACGTTTTCCACCTTACACGGTTTTTGAAAATGATGTTTTTTAACGAAATATTTGCTTATCTACAATAAAAATCTACAATAACATTTTCATTGTTTTACTGTCAAAATACAACACTACAAAATGTATGTTACCATTACGAATTTTTATGAATCTATGTCTATGATGGAAATATGTAGATGAGATGGGAACTCCATGTTTTATGATCCAAACTAAATTTTTGTGTGTATAAGCTAGATTGTTTGAAATATCAAAACAAAGAGCATCATCAGTTTTTAATGAGTGTGTGTATATATATATATATATATATATATATATATATATATTTAATTCATAGCGTACGTAAAAGATATGTATATCTGTAAAAACCAATTTTATTTTTTATCTATGAAGAAAATGCAATATTAAAATAGTTTTTTTTATATTTGTTTTATTATTGAAATAAATTAATTTTTTTATAATTTATTAAATATGTTTGATATTAAATATATTAATATTAATTTTTTGTTCAATGTATTTGTTATTCGTCATATTAAAAACTGACAAAAAGGGTTTTTTCATGGTTATTTTTGTCTAGCACGGTTTTTCCATATAAAAGTGAATTTTTTGACGCTTTTTTATAGAACGTATCTTCCATGTAAAACGTGGGATAGGTGTAATTACAAATCCTACAATTTATTATAAAATTGAAAAGTCATAATTTAGGATTTAAATTACTCACGGAATATTAACAAGAATAAAAGCTACAGCACAAGTAGCAGGTATTATTATTTTAACCAATTGCCGTTTTTCTTCATTTTATCACTAACAACTAATATTAACTCGAAATTGGTTTTCTAAATAAAAGTAGTTTCGAGACCCCACCTCTACATCTATACTTAATTTCTTTCAAGGACTGTCCATAAATCGATTACTCCTGGCAAACGTTACCTTCAAGAAGTAAACAAAAGTCTAAAGTATAATTTATTAATATGTTGGTCATTTCACTAGATTAACAAGAATAATTCATTAATAAAACTCTAATAAATTAAATTCCCTCGTAATAAAATTCAATATTGATATTAAAATATTTATTCAGCACATGGTATGACTTTTTATCTTTAAATTCTTAAAGATGATCAAATAACGTAAGTATTAAAAATAACGATAGTAAATAGAAGATATATTGATTGGATAAAATTACTCGTTAATCATACCCATTTCACACGCTATGGTCCGTGAAAATGTGACGTAATTAAGAAAGAAAATAATTAGAGCTAAGTCATTAGTGAGGAGTAAAAGTACGAAGTTTTATAAAATAATATCAGTGCGTAATACCAGAGGATGAATGGACGTACTATATATCTAATTAAGCTCGTAAAGGTATTTTCTTGGTGATGTAACCGAAAGTATTTCTCTAATTGGGGCAAACAACAATTTTCATCAGCTATGTTTACATTTTATCGTTTCAATGAATACTATTACTAAAATTACTAAATTATGATTCGAAATGCAATTCCAATTCATTAATTAATTTTAAGTGTTCCGCACAAATCTTATAGGGTAGGTCCAATTTGAATTTGAGCAATTATATAGTGAAAACCAAACCAATTATGATACAACAAATAACAAATATCAACCATCAAATCAATTAAAAAAGTCAAATAACAAAGAAACAACCATATGACCATGATCAGTAAAACTCCCATCTGATTATTGTAGAAATGTGTTTATTTTTGTTGTTTTTCAAAAAATTGTAACCTGGTCCTTTATACCCTATAGGCGCGGTAAATTGTGACGTCCAGGGAGCAAACAAATCCAATGTCTTATTTTAATTTTAAAGGGATTTTACAAAATAATAGCTACATTATTCAACCAATGCAAAATGTAATTTTCATGGGTTTATGTTTTACAGAGATAACATTGTAAATAACTTTATTCTTGTATTTTGTCAGAAACATTCATCATCAGCAGATTGATTTAATTTATTTCTTGCAAAATTAATTTTTTAACTGAATTTACAATTTACTATTCTTTATTGTTTACGTCTTTGCCAAGGTAGAGGTTCATTTGCTCCTTTTAACCCCATCGATAAGCCATTATAGAAGTTATATAAAAACATCTGTTGAGTCTAACTCAGAATTAACAACACATCTTATAGAACAATTAAATAACGTTTAACTAAAAATTTTATAAAAGTCTCGTGAAGTAAACAACGGTGTTCACAACCAAAAGAACTAACAACGGAAGAAAATACTTTTGTTAGAGATTTTCAAACATTGCTGTTTTTTTCGATAGCGACGTTGTTTGACGCAATGGCTGATTACACATATTTTTCCCTATACTTTCAAATATTGTTGTTAACAAATTTTTAACATTACTTGTTTTTGAGATATTGGTGGTGGACCTTTTTATCTGCGGATGTTTAATCCCCGCTCTACCCTATTTCATTTATAATTTATGCTATATATATGCGACACCTCTTAAAACGTATTTATATTAATATATTCATTATATATTAATTTACAAAAAGCAATTCTTTAATTCTAGTCATTAATAACAAGACATACTCAATCACAATAATTAAAATGCGTAGATGAACACATAGAAAATCTTACATTGATTTTTAGATGTATGCTTTAGGTTAATCATAATATTTAATGTCGAAATTTAGATGCCATTAAATTTATTATTTGTTTTCATAGTAGATATAATAATAACTGCATAACTGCATATTTAAATTCAAGAATTGTAATAAAAAATTAAAAATGATATAATTTTTATTGCTTTTAGAAGTTATTTAGACATAATATATGTCTTTCTATTTTTATACTTCACGCGATTATATAGCAAGTTTTATATATTAAATATTAAAAACGAGTTTGACGTATTTTTACTTAAACTTGCAGATTTTCTATATATATTTTTTTACTATTTTTTATATAGAGTTTTCAGGTTAATAATAGATTATATTGGATGTCGGATATAGAGTTGAGAAGTCATTAATTTTATATTTTGTTACTCTAGTAGAGTTATATTAAAAATTGCATATCTAAGTTCAAATATTGTAATGAAAATGATATAATTATAGAAGCTTTTTAAATAGTACATCGATTTTTTTACAAATTATTTGAAAAAAAAGATTTTTACTCATTTTTTTTACTTTATATAATTGTATTAAATATTGAAAATGATCTCGGCGTAATCCCTAATTCCAGGTATCATTTGGCAAAATTAACCATAAAAATGCGAAGAAATACATTTTTTTCAAATTTAAAGAAATCAATGTGATCTCTTCCCTAATAAATCATTTAAAAAGCTCCTATAATTGTATCAAATTTATTAATTCACTAAAATTTAACTATGCAGTTATTTGTTCATTTGACGGATCAAATAAGTTGCAAAGCTATGGGAGTAAAATTATGATATTATGAAAATAATAAAAATATCTGTTTTCTAACAAAAGTTCAATATCAATTTCATTAGTTATTACTAATCTCACCTGTCATTGTAAATATGCCAACAAAAAGCCCAATGCTTCTCCCAGCCAACATAACTTCTTCTTCGGAGTCATTTCCAGACTCTTTTTTCCGGGCTGCCCAAATACCGACTCCCAAAATTAGTAAATAGAAGAGCACTATGCTCACAACACCGGCTATGTTTATCATGATGACCTGAAAATAAATATAATCAGATATTAGATAAAGAAAAATCTATTAATTAAGTCTACACGAAAGAGAAGATGGGGAATTGCGCTGATTAAGTTTTGTAATTAATATTTAAATATGACCAGCAATTATATAATAGCGTGATACTATTTTGATTAAACTATTTTTCGTTTTCTTGTAATAACAATTTAAAAATGACAGTTTTAATATCATTATTAAATTATATTAATAAATATTTATTTATTTATTTATTTATTTATTTATTTATTTAAATATATAGCCCACAGATTTCTCCAAGAGGACTCAAAAATACAATTATTTGACATAATGAATAACAATTAAAATATACACAAAATTACAATATATAGTTAGTAACATAAAATGCTAAGATAAAATTTCATATAATGCAGAATGTAACAATAATATTTATAAACAGAAAATAATAAGATATTTGAAAGAAAATAAAAAGATTAACTTGTGCAGATGGAGATTATTTGATTAGGTGATGTGTTGTAAAATATTAAATTATAGATTTCCGCTTGGACATTGCAAAAGTAATACGTATTTTGTCGCCGGAGCGGCGGCATCCGAGTGGAAAGGGTTAAGTTTTTATCATGGTTATGATAAAAAATTAGTTCAAAAAGATAAAACTGCAGATTTAAAAATAATGAATGTGAAAAATTCACGTAAAATTTTTAAAAATGAAACTTAAAACTATACTAGATATCATCATATCATGTTCCATTCCACATTTACTATTTCCAAAAATTTACAGAAATTAGTAATTTTTAATAAACAATTTAAATATAAGTTTGCTATATAATAAGATAAAATATTTTTAGTTAATAAAATTAAAGTGATCGTGATTAGTGCTACGAGCGCTTCTTTAAACATAGTTATTATTATTACTACTATTATTATTGTTATTATTATTATTAACATACATACGTATTTCTAAATATTGCTTATGCCAATGTATTTAAAAACAAAATAATATATGTTAGATGCGATTGTTACAAATAAGGATGAATTTCGAAAGTATGGTGTTATTCTTTTGATTTAAAGTTCATTTTAGTCGAGCTTTAAATAAGTTTGGTTTATAACAATAAGTAATTTTCTTTAAGATATAGATAATTATAAAAATAAATATTAGTGAGATGCCATTGTAAGCAATATTAATATGTAGAGTGCAGTTTTCTGCATTTTCTAAATTTTTGTATATGCTCAAGAATTATTTTATTTACTCAAAATTTTTTTTACTAAATTTTTCGACACTTGACAACATGTTTAATATTGTTCATACATTGTTATATAGGAAATATTTCCATATGATGGTTCAGCGATTCTATTACCAATATAAAAACGCAGAACTAAATGATCTTTAAATTATTTTTTACAAAGAGTTACAAATTATTTTACCGTTATTATTATTATTATAATACTCAATTAAATATTATTAATAATTCATAAATAGAACGGTCCAGACCAGCATCTTGTAATGTGCATCATTGTACTACTAAACTAGGATTATTTTTTTGAAATTGTAATGAAAACCGTATGATGTTATATATTAATAGTTACTATATTAATCCAGATATCAAAATATATTACAACTGGGCGAATATTTGCTAATATATTAAGTTACAAGGGGGGCTAATATATTAAGTTAAATTCGTATTGAGCAAACAATGGAATAACTTGCATCTTTTAATGTGCGAATTTTATTTTAATAAGTAGACCAATTATTTACAATAAATATATGATATTGATTATATTAGTCTATTAGATTAGATTTGTTATTGATTAACAATGCCAATTAAGTAAATCAAATTAATCAAATTTTGTTTATAAGTAAAGGAAGGAAATTGGTAAATATTTTATTTCAACATTGGAATATTAAATTAAGGAAATACTATTCGGCCTAATACAATCTCTACAAATCTGAGATCGAACATTATTTTATTTCTTAGAAACAATCTTATACACGTCATTCAAATGAGATTACAAATTGTATAAAATATACTGAATATGCACTTTGTGAACAAAAATAATAAAGAATAGAATCATTTGTTTCATTTGGAAAATTAGCAATTATTTAAAATTACAAATGAAAAATTCTAGTAGTTCAATTTACAATCATAACGAATTAAAACATTATTTTTATTCTCAAAATAATTTATAATTATCACGAATCCTGTAGATAGATATATGTTTTGCCACTTATGATTTATTAATGAATCGTACACCCTTGTATAGGTGCTTTTAATAACCTATTATAGTCGAATGAGATCAATAATCACTTTAATAGTACATTATTAATGTCCGGATAAATTATGCGCACAATATAATATCCAAAAAACAGGATATCAACAATAATTAAGAATAGATATTTATTTTTTATGAGTGTGGAAAAATTGCAAAATTAATGTTAAATATATTATCTGATTATTTACTGTATCTTTCGTATAGTTATATTTAAATTTCAAGATTGGCTTCATTAAAATTATATTCATAGTTAGCCAAATATACTCTGATTGTAAAATTTTGTTCTATTGATATACGCACAAAAACTGCTAAGCGAGATAAAAATTGTTAAGTTATTAAATGAAGCACGTGTTCTACATTACATTTCCATTATTACTTTTGTACTTTATTACAAGTTATATAAGTGAATGAATAGTTTAATGGGGGAATATAATAAGAATATGGTTTACGTAAAAAATTTGATAAAATTTTGAGAAGGTCCTAATTTATTACGTGCCTTGCTGAACATTTAAATGAATGTGTTATTGATTTATTCCGATAGTAGGGTATATATATGGATGGATGGACACATGATATGTATATATCTGTATTTGTATCAATACGTAAAGCTTTTTCATATTTTTAGATTTTGCATGCTATTCGACAGCTTTGAGTTACTTGTAAAATTTGGTAAGCGCTTTTTTGATCGTCAATAAAACTTACTCTGGTGATATATTGCTAATAAATTTCCGCTGCTTGAAGACCCGCTTATAAATGGCGACCTTGAAAAATTGGTATGGTGGTTCTTGCTGCGATTTGAATAATCACAAATCAAGAGAAATGTGCACTTATTATAATATCATGTTTGTTCACTTGTGTAACAACCAAACGCGCACACGTTGTCTTATCGAACACATTGCAATTAACCACATTTGCGAAGACTTTTCGAATTATATATGAACTTTTATTTAAAAATATATTTTTAATAATTCACGGACACTCTGAATTGGTGTCAGTCTTCGACCGGACACTAACACCGGAGGCTGTAGCAACAGTCGCCCCAACGAAGAGAGGTCTTCTGAGAAGGGCTGTTCCTGGTTCTAAATCCTAGCCCGCACATTGAGCGTTGGGCTTCATGCAGACTTCGATGTAGATAACATCGCAGATCTTTTCACCAGGAGGCGGCCAGCACCAGAACGCAGCGCACTTGCTACCTGGTCGACGACGTTTGGCTGACGATCTGATGTCGCTGGTAGTTCGTTTCAGCGATTCTCGCTCTCTGGCGCGCTCGCAGCCGCGTTTCAATTTCGAGTCGGCCTCGTTGTATCGACCGGCGGACGAGCGCGCTCGTGTGACGTAACAGGGTAGTACACCATTGATCCGACGCCGACGCTAAAAACGAACCATGAACGACCTAACAGAACGCCGTACGTAGGTGGTTTTCGTTCACCTACGACGACTATAGGACAGGGTTGACTTTTATTTATTTTCCATTTTTTCATGACAAATTTCAACTGTACGCACTCACGCTTGTAAATATAAACTATTTATCTATCTGCACCATAGAGGGGTAAAAATATATAAAAAACATTTTTAAATTCCCGTAGGGTAAGATATAGTATTTTATATATCTTTACGTTTCAAAGGTTTCTGAATATTTTAGCATACCTTAGAAAAAATGGATGTATGTGTGTATGTGTATGTGTGTGTGTGTGTGTGTTTGTGCGCGCGCGCGGATACAAATTTTCGCCCACGATTTCTGGAACACCGATCAATCGATTTAAATAATTCAACAAACATTTGATTCGTATCGATAACGAGACGTGCTGATTAGTTTTTGACGAAGGCAGGTCTAGCCGTTCCAAAGATACGGGGCAAAAAGTGCCAAAAACGATAATTCAGTTTTTAAGAGAACGGAGCTTCCGATTTTAATAACTCGAAAAACATTTTACTTGTATTGACAAGATGACATCTGATTAAATTTTGGGAAGACGGATCAAGCGGTTATGGACTCTCAATGAAAACAAGTTAAAAAAATGGCGGTCAAAAATGTTTATTGGACATATGTACATCAAATTAGCAGACATTTTATAGAGATTTTAACAATGTCTACACATTTTGTGTAAATTTTTTTGGGTTCCGTACCAAGATTTTTAATTACGGTACGCGAAGTTCCAGCAATTTGCCTTAAGGCGCGATGCCATGCACCCCACTAGTTTTCTTTACTACGGTAAAACAAAAAATCAACCAGTAATGTATGGCATTGTAGCTCAAGGCAAATTACTGTAACTTTCCGTACCGCAGTTTAATATTTTTTGAAAATCGTGAAAATTTTGAAAAAAAAGACATTTTTAAGAGTTTTGAATTTTTTGAAAGAAAATTGTCATTTTTGAAAAATTTAATGTTTTTTTGGAAAATTTGAAATGCGTTGAACTGAAAATTCAATCAAGTCTGCATTCCGACAATGCAAGTGAAATGTTTCCCGAATCATTCCAATTGAACACTCCGTTCCCTCAAAAACTGAATTGCCATTTTTGCACTTTTTATTCAGTATATTCGAACCGACTAGACCTGCCTTTGCCAAAAACTAATCAGTTCAATGTTTTTTGAAACGTTCAAATCAATCGGTTAATCAGTGCTCTCAAAATCATCAACATTTGCATCTGCACATACAAACCTACACACACATACAGCAATTTTTTCTAAGGTATGCCAAAATGTTCAGAAATATAAAAATATGCAAAAATTTGCATTTTTGATTTTTTGCGTTTACTACAACATACCCTTAAGAAAGTTAGCAATAGATAGAGTATTAAGAGATAGACTTCTTAAATTTTATAAAACTCTCAGTAAAGGAGTTCTTTGGGCACTTTATATGTCTTTACTTCGATAGCACACTATGTAAAATCTTTATCAATTGTATCAATTTTTTTCCTTATCTTGCTTATAGATTTGCAAATTGACTCGACGTATAATAGTTGAACGTCATATTATTGAGCATATTTATTCGATATTTATTAGAATAATTTACATATTTATGTAGCTAGAATTTAGTTTTAGTTGCAGTTAGAATTTTAGACAAATTTTCTTTTTTTATATATCAAGACTTATTCTGAAAACGTGCTGAACTATATTTTTATAATTTATCTACCCTTGAACTGGAGACTCTATTCCACCCTACGGCCGCTATTAGATTTTTTGGAAGACGTTTTCGTAAAGGAATGTACAGGAGATCATAGTACGTCAACGTTTACGATAATAAATCACTTATGATAAATTGCTAGGTACGGTTCGAAATCATGAATTCTTCCTCTTTTCTCAGATTATTTATAAATATCAACTTCAATTATATCGAGACGAGAGCTTTCCATGGAAATTTATTCTACTATTTTTACTATCATTTTATACAATCGGTGTAACATTCGCTCCCATTCAATTATTTATGATTTACATTTTGTCAGTATGAGATTATCTTGTTATTACTCTATCTCTTTAAGACCGAGGAAAGCAAGTTGTAAAAGAAAATAATTGCATTTATTTGCTAATATATATATAATATATATATATATATATATATATATATATATATATATATAACAAAATTATATTCGAGTTTAATACGGAATATAGGAAGTTCAATCTGACCAGATCATTTTTCGACATAAATTTTCAATATAAAATTCAATAATTCACGATATGAAAATATAAATTTCAAATTTACGAATGAAAATAGTTTAGAAATGCAAATATTTTCGCAATGCTTATTTTTACTATGAATATTTAAATATATCATTGTATATAAGTCTATGTAGTTTTTGTCGCCGACACCTTATTAGTTAAATTGCCATCGCAATAAAACACATTGTATATGGTATGTTATTGAAATGTCACAATATAAACAAAGAAAAAATTATATATAAATAAAAATAAAATAAAATGAAATATAATTTATATATATATATATATATATATATATATGTCTGTGTGTGTGTTTAGACGTAAGAGCTAATATAAAACGCCTTCCATAGGAGAATGATAAACCCATAGATAAGGAAACTAATAATAATAATAATAGTGGGTAAACCAATAGGTTGCCTCATACAATTTATTAAAATATATTTACATAACATTGTTATGTTGATATATTGCAAATCTCCAAATGCAAAACACTGAATATTTTTGAAAAAACTTCGAATATATGTGCCACCATTCATTGATTTATCTGGTTTTAATTTCTTTTTTAACTATTCATAAAAATATATCGATTTCTTCACAAATCCTATGTGAGCACTTAAAAAAAGGGGCTTTTTCGCCCCCTGTCCTGACTAAATCTGTTTGGAATTGCGGACATCTTTATATAATATGTAATATGCAATTATTATATCCGCTAAATTTTTTTGTTTATAAATATGTGTATATATAGGATGTTAAGCTAATCAATCCAAACTAATTTATTTGATAAAATTCAAAGCGATAAACGAAATGCATAATAATATATACACACACATATAAATATATATATATATATATATATATATATATAAACTTTAGATTTTTTTGTTCGACGTTGAAACATATTCTTGAAATCTTTATTTGCAGCCAAGCTTGTACGTTTCGACACTGTATGTGCGTCGTCATTTAGCACGTTAAACAAATTCAAACCAGGAAAAAACACAGCACCAAATTTTAAAGACATTGTGTAATAAATAATTGTTGAATAAACCAAAAGATAAAAAATAAAATTATGTAGTAAGCAACATTATTAAAGAAAGGTAAATTCAATTATTTTTATTCTTCATCTCATTTTTTGGTTATAATTTTTCTACTCAAAATTTTTCAATAATAAAATTTTTAAGTATTTCATCATTATACTGTATAATTTATACAATCCTGATTAAATGCGCCAACTTTTGGTGAAACTTGCCAACACACTTTAGTACATTTTTCTTCAAAGGCATCTCAAATTCTACCGACTTTAAACATTTTAAATTTATTATAATAATAAATAATAAAATTAAACTTATCTTTGTAGACCAACAAAAAGTCTTAAATCTTAATAAATAATAAAATTAAATTTAAATTTCTAATTTAAGAAAAAGTTAATTTTCAAAAATTTGGCGTAATTGTGGTATTTTCTTTACTGTAGTCCTAATAGAAATGTTATTCACGGTTACGGTTTCAAAGTTTAAATGAACAAAATTAATAAAACTTAACCAAAGCACTAGGTTGCAATTAAAAGCTCATAATTTTAAACAACGCGTGATATTTTTTTCTAATTTTTTTTTAGAACAGTTGAGGTCCATACTATAACCCTTTTTCGGCTTGACGTCAAGGTCTGGGACACCCTATATATTAAATTTAAAAAAAAATTCGAAGTTGTATATTAGCATCTACATTTAAATATTAGAATCAAAACTAGTGGGGTGCATGGCATAGTGCCGTAAGGCAAATTACTGGAACTTCCTGCACCGTAACTAAAAATTTTGGTACGGAACCCAAAAAAATTTATGCAAAATGTGTATACATTATTAAAATCGATATAAAATATCTGATAATTTGATGTCCAATAAACATTTTTGACCGCCAAATGACATTTTTTTAATTTATTTTTATTGAGAGTCTATAACCGCTGGACCTGCCATCCCAAAAACTTAATCAGTTCTTCAACTTGTCAATACAAGTAAAATGTTTTTTGAATCATTAAAATCGGACGCTCCATTCTCTTAAAAACTGAGTTACCGTTCGGCTAGACCTGCCTTTGCTAATCAACACGTCTCCTTATTAATACGAATCGAATGTTTTTTGAATTATTCAAATCGGTTGATCGGTGTTCCCGAAATCGTCGACGAAAATTTGTATCCGCACGCACATACACACACACACATACATCCATTTTTTCTAAGGTATGCCAAAATGTTCAGAAACCTCTGAAACGGAAAGATATATAAAAAATTTCATTTTGGTTTTTTTTGCGATTACTATAACTTGCGCTACGGTAAGTTAATTATATATTTGCATCATAGATAAATAATTATAAATGATTTGCATCTACATTTAAATATTATTGTCGAAATTAAAATATACTTTCAATAAAACTTGAAATTATATATAGGCATCTACATTTAAATATTAGTGTCAAAATTAAAAAATATACTTTCAATAAAACTCGACATTATATGTTTGTATCTACATTTAAATCTTAGTGTCAAAATTACAATATATTTTCAATAAAACTCGAAATTATATATTTGCATCCATATTTAAATACTAGTGTCAAAATTAAAATATACCGAATGCAATACAAATGTATTATTATGCCAAATTCAATTGGATAACTAATTTATTGTTTTTCTAAGCATGTTTATATATTATAAATATCGTATTTATGTATATAAATACACATTTCTATGAATATTTTCATTTCCATCAACTTAAGGATATGTAAGTTGTAATAAAACAAATGCCGGCTGAGCGTGTAGCCCATTGAAAAAATATTGATCTTTATTCTTATTCTCCACTATGTGCAATTCTGTAGTCTCTGGCAATCCTTTATTGAGCGTTCTTTGGAACATATCCGCTCCCACAATGCAATGCGTTATGAGCCGGTAGTGTTGTGAATACATCGATTTGATGATGGATCATGAACATCGACATTAATGGAACAATATAGCACTAGAAGTCGAAATACTTAATGCTCATATACAGAGAAATATTGATGTTTTGATATATTTTTTATATCAGTGATCAGATTTATACACATTATATGAGTTTTTATTTATGAATAGTAATTTGATTCAAACATTTATTAAATTGAAACACGGTTTTTATATATGATATGTGATGCATAATCTTTTGACATAAATATGTCAGATAAATCAAATTGTCATATGCATAAATATGCACATATATCCTTGAATATAAATTCTTTCAATTGATATAATTTTTGTTTAATTCTTATTACTATCAAATCATAATTGATAACACAGCAGATAAAATTCTTGATTCTAATTACTATTCGATCACAATTTTATATATTGTATTGATACGTTAAAACTATGGCAATTTTTAATAGATATCCGATGTTTATACGGCATCGTGTATTGAACAAATTTATTTTTTTGACATCCACTGTCGATTTCGGTCACTAGCATCGACATTTAATGTGTTCGTTTACCCTCACTGACTGGGTGTTCTTCCGGCATTTCGACTCGGCGCGTACCTCGTCGTGAAACAAGCTAGCCGTACGCAGCCATTGTTGTTTCGGTAGCAGTAAGAGAAGGTGTTCAGTGAGAATTTTAGTAATAGACTTAAAGTAGTTTCATGTTATCTAAGGAAACAATGGCAGAAACACAAGAATATACTATGAATGGTGGAGAAGATTTTGCTCAAGATGTGAAAGAGCAAGAACAAGTTAACGGAGGCGGTGAAGAAGGAGCCGGCGATGCGTCTCGTGAAAATGGAAGCGCCGAAGCTCCTGGCCGTGACGACGATAGGTATGTGTTGTTTATAGTTATTTATTTACATTTAAAGTCTATTAGATGTTCGATTTGTTAATAAATATGTATTTATATAATTTCGGATGCGTAAATTGAAACGTAGTTTTAGATTTCATATAAGTATTCGAACGCTAATGATTATATTTAATGTTGTATTGTTAAATGATTAAATGTAATCTAGCTTGAAATGCTGCTTGTTAATGATATTGAATTAATTCGTATATAAATAGATCAATATTCTGAGCATCTAAGCGGCTTTAGCATAATTATACAAAATGGCGGATCATCGCGGTGTTTAATGCGATCTTATATCTTTACTATTACTGTTGTTTGGAAATGATAAAATTTTATAGTGTCACTTTTTTGCAGCATTCTTTATGATTAACTTAACTTTAATTATTTGCCCACTTTCAGAAATTATTGTTTAATATGTTAAAAATATTTTCTTTGAAAATTTTCGCCGGATAATTTAATGAAAGTTTTGGGCATCTGTAATATTGTTTGGAGGATTTGTATCTAGGTTTTGAGTCCATATAAATCTAACCAGCTTCCCTCTTGGCAGGTGTGAGTGACCCGGAGCCCTGTGCGCTGCAGCTGGGTTGCTGATGATGGTATTTATCAGAACAAAAGGGTCACACACATGGCTAAGTCCTTGTGGCTTAGTTATCGTTAAAGTTTTCGATATTTTTGAGCAAATGCCATCTTTGGCCATGTTTATTAAATTTTTTTCTTTGATCAATTTAGTTGTTGCAGTCATTATTAATTGTAAATTTTCTGAATTTACATAATCTACTTGGATCTTACATTTGTATTTTCATGTTGTACCGTAATCTATATTTAAGTGATTTTATGGCATATACCTGTTTTGTTTTTGATAATGAAAATTAGATCACCTACTTTGAACATTTAAACAACAGGATTTGTTTGCTGAGCAGTTTTCTTTGCTATCGCACACTAGTGATTATTATTTCAAATGTCGGTCGATCTGTTTTCTCATTTTGACACATTTTGATAATTTTCATGTCAAGTTTAGTGTAAGATCCTTTTATGGTAATATTTTATTTTTAATTTTTGACTATTTAAATTCATCATGTATATGCCAGTGTCACAGTAACTTTTGTATACATTGAATCATAAGTTCATTGAAGTCAATTAACAATTCTCCGCCAGAAGTGGGGAACCAGTAAGTTATCATTTCACTACTTATAATAAAAGTCTAGTGTTAATCTTTAATTTTGCAAACATTTGTATATAAAGATTTTCAGATTCTAAGAGGTTCACTTTTGCAGCAGTGCTTGTTTGGCGTTAACTTAATAGATTTAGTTTAAACATGAGGTTTCGTTTTGTGAAAGTACTGCATTATAATGTTAAAATTAAATCAAAAATTAACTTCATTCTAATTGTAGTTTAAAATTTGGTTTCTATAATATATTTTGTTACATTCACAGGAAACTCTTTGTTGGTGGACTTAGTTGGGAAACAACTGATAGTAAGTATATCAGTTTAAAATTATTTGTATTCAATGTTTTTCTTATACTAAAGAATATGTTTATGTTTATAGAGGAATTGCGTGAACACTTCGGTGCATATGGAGATATCGATAGCATTAATGTTAAAACTGACCCCAGTACTGGTCGATCACGAGGATTTGCATTCATCGTGTATTCATCTCCTGAATCCATTGATAAAGTTGTTGCTGTATCTGAACATATAATTAACAACAAGAAAGTAGATCCAAAGAAAGCCAAGGCCCGCCATGGAAAAATTTTTGTTGGAGGTTTGACGACTGAAGTCAGCGATGATGATATCAAAAACTATTTCAATCAGTTTGGGACGGTAATTAATTTTTTTTAATTTCTTGAAACTAATTAAGAGTATTATATTATAATAGTATATGTAATCATAGATCATAGAAGTTGAGATGCCATTTGACAAGACGAAGAATCAACGGAAAGGTTTCTGTTTTATAACTTTTGAATCTGAGCAAGTTGTCAATGAGTTATTGAAAACACCAAAACAAACGATTGCTGGTAAGGAAGTAGATGTGAAAAAAGCCACTCCCAAGCCGGACAACATGCAAGGAATGCGCGGTGGTCGTGGCGGTCGCGGAGGCAGAGGCGGACGTGGAGGTAGAGGTACAACTAGTTTATTTTATACTAGTTTGTTTTCTTACATGACGCTTTGGCTTGATGTGTCACCACATTTGGACATAAGTGTTGTTTATTGCTTTGAATTGGTCTAACGTAGCTTGTGTTGCTTGTTGCAGGTTACGGTCAAGGTGGTTGGGGAGGTAACCAAGGAGGTTATGGCGGTGGTTATGGTGGCTACAACCAGGGTGGATATGGAGGTGGTTATGATGGTTATGGCGGTGGCGGCTATGATTACTATGGAGGTGGCTATGGAGGTTATGGCGGTTATGATTATGCTGGCTACCCCAACTACGGTAAATATAACAATAGGAAAAATGTAAACGGAACACGTAGCAAGTGACTCTAATCATTCCGGACAAAAGAAAATCTCAGGGGTTTATACTGTCTGTGTATATATTTATTATATATTTGTATATGATAAACTTATGCTAATGTTGATTTTTTAATTTTAAGATTATATTTTTTCATCTATTTATCAATAGTTCTAAATGACTTGATTTTTATTTCCTGTATATGTATCATACACCAATGATTCCACCTGTTATAAATCTATTTGTTATACCCATATTTTATTAATTGCAGTATTTTTTTCATGTTGAACTGAAATTTGATTTCTTATATTGTAGTTCATAAAATTGGGTAAAATGATATATGGGACAATACATTGTGAATGTTATATGATAAAATTTATTGAAAATAAATTCTCAATGTGTTTACCATATATTCTTTCTTTTATTTCTTATTATTTTTTTGTTTTATTTTCTTTATTTTTCTCTATTTTCTCTTCATTTTAATTTTGTATTTGCAACTTCTGCAGTCACTTTCATTAAGTTCACCACCTCCGCTGCATTTTTTATTGACCATATCCAAAAACAGTAGGCCTTTGCAGGACGTTCGTATATTGCACCAAGAAAAAATTATGCTATGGTTTAGTTTGTGTTGTGTGCTTGTCGTTTAGAGTAGTATAATGAAAGATTTGCATTCCATTGGTTTCCTTCTTAATGCCATATTGTTTGGTTACTATTATTTAGTCTTTCTAAATTTTAAACAATTTTTAATTCATCAAAAATCTTCTAAGCAGACTACGGCGGCTATGGGGGATTTGAAGGGGGCTTTGGAAACGGTGGTCGTACAGGGGGTCCCCGTGGTGGCAAAGGTATAGACTGTTTGTCGTTGCCTTATTTCATTTTACCAATTTTGCCTTGATTAAGATTTAATTTTGAAAGTTAACTTTTTGCACACTAATCGACGTAACAAATTACATGTTTTGAGTATGTGAAGTGTTGAATACAAACATTGCATATGATTGAAACTTATAATTTATTTCTGTGCAGGTGCAAGCGGCGGATATGGCGGTGGAAAGCAACGTGGTGGTGGTGGTGGACGCCAACAGAGGCACCAGCCCTATTAATAACTTGTAAGTTTTAAGATTTGTGTTTGACACTTCACTTTTGACTTTTGTTTCAAGTTGATTTTCTTTATTGCAGATAGTGATCCAGTTCATCTTCCATTCAGTTCATAATATATTTCGTTCATGTGGAGCTCTTTCTATACTTCCTCAGAAGTGGAAGAGGAAAGATTTAACTTTAAGTGCGTTCTAAACATCTGTACAAATCTTAGTATTTAGTTAAGAATGCTCATTGGCTTCTTACCTAATGGAGAGTAAGATAAAATACTATGTGAATTAATTTAGGTATAGTTTTGTATTAATTTGTGGGTAAATGTAGAGATTTTCTCCTTTTATTTCATTATGTAATTCTCATTGAAAGTGTATTAGGAAATGTATAAATTAATATTTTTTGTTTTAATATTTTAAGTGAATGAACGATACTCTTTTTGAGTAAAAACAGGGACAAAAAAGTACTTTGACTATATTAATTTTGAAGGTATGAATCTTGTATATATTTATTTCTAGACATGTACACTTCACTTTTTATATTCTGTGTAAACAATATAAAATAATATAAATGTATACCAGTCTTTTATTTAATTAATTCTGGAAGTTTGTATGGATTTGAATTACTTGTACAATTCATGATAATAATTAGTATTTTGAGAAATACTTCATTTTTGCATCAAAATAATCATAAAATTTCTGTTGATCTAAATGAAGGATATGAGTTTTTCTTTTTTAGTAAAGCGTTGGCTAACGTACTTTCGATCAGTTCGAATAAGTGTACGCTTCTGGCAATACTAAGTCAAGTTGCAAAATGATACCGGATTTTATTGTTAAGTTGGTACCGTGATCTGATCTCGTGCGCATATAGAGTGCGCATTCTAACCATAATATTTAACATCCTGCTATTCTTCGTCTTTAGATATATCGCCTTTTTCGTTTGCCGATAAGTGAGCTATTTGTTATTTCTTTACTCTGCGAAGTTCTTAGTGGAGTTTCTCTATTACTTCTGTTTCGTGCGTGATATTATATGCAGTTTAAAAAGTCGAAAAGCTCACTGTTTCGATCTGAAATTCAAGTAAGTCATCGAACCATTTAATAATTGTTATTGCTAATTTACATACGACGCTTTAATACATTTTGCGGTAGAAGTTTGACAAATGTGAAGGTTTGCCGATTAAGTGTTTTTTACGAAAATCCTGCCGATAGCTAGGCATCTGAAATAATAAGTGTGCATTCCGCCCTTTTGGATCTTGTTAGTAGCTTGTTTTACTAAATTTTCATGCGTTGATTCATTTGTTTTAAATTTCGTCTTTTGTTTCTGCTAGTATCAAATAAAGTGTATAACACATAACCTTCTTTGATAAAGTTATATATTTTCTTTGTTTGTTTCAAATACGTGTGACAATTATCTCTTTATTTGAATTTTCAGGGACATATGTTTTATTGACCAGTTATTAACCAAATTTAAGCTGGAATTCGCTCATCAAAGTGAATTGAAGTTGACTAGATTTTGAGCAATGGTAATGGATGTGACACCTTCACCTCAGTGTGTGGGACGTGAATTCGTCCGGCAATACTACACTCTGCTTAACAAAGCTCCCACTCATTTGCACAGGTAATGTAATTTAATTTTATTTTATTGTGCACTTAGACTATTATCTATTAATTTTGTTCTATACAGGTTCTATAACAATTATTCAAGTTTCGTTCATGGAGGTCTAGATTCACCAAACAGAGAGTCAGCTCCAGTCATTGGACAGAAGCAGATACATAATAAAATCCAGCAACTCAATTTCCGTGATTGCCATGCTAAGATCAGTCAGGTATATTTGCAATTGCTGAAACTTCAACGTTGTATGACATTTCTCTTGTCATAATTTAGCAAGAGGTTTATGAATGAGTTTTGTCTGTGGTGACTTTACAAGGTATTTGTTTAAATCGTGCAGTGCTGAAAATAATTTGCTTGCATCATTTTGCAGGTTGATTCTCAAGCAACTCTTGGTAATGGAGTTGTGGTTCAGGTTACTGGGGAGTTGTCCAATGCAGGCCAGCCAATGAGAAGGTTCACCCAGACTTTTGTTTTAGCATCTCAATCACCCAAGAAGTATTATGTCCATAACGACATTTTCCGCTATCAGGTTAGTTTATAAAAGTTACGAATAATTTAAATGGATTTGTTTACGGGTATATGTATTAAATAAATAATACTTCAGAATAGTGTTTCTTAATGTTAGACGTGCATAATTTATTACCAATTTTTTTGTTTTATTAATCATAAGAGTAGAAACTCTTTTACTGTACTAGTACAGTATAAAAATTCATATGTAATATTTACTATCTTCTCTTTGTTTTCTTCAGGATCTTGTTTTTACTGATGATGATGTTGAGGCTGATTCCAGCCGATCAGAGGCTGATGAAGATGTCGAGTCCGAATCCTCATTGGCCGTTACCTCAAGTTCAGTGACTCTGACTGAAGGAACAACATCTACTACGAGTCAGAATTTGACTGGCTATTATAACTGCAATGCTGGGTCAGTCAATTCTGAAGGTTTCCAACAGAATTACACCACGGCTAATCAAACCCCACCCCAGGTCAATGGCGTTTCATCTGAGGAAGCTGCTCAAACGACAGGTAAAGAGTATTTAAAAGTTTTTATATGTGGTTCCAAGTAATTTGAGTTTGATTTTCAAATATAATTTATGTAGCTGCTTCAGATGGAAGTGCAGGAGAGATCTTAGAATCTTTTGAGTCAGTTCCAGCCTCAAAAGATCAATCATTAGAGAAAGAACCTGTGGTGGAGAAACAAAATACCTCACCGCCTGTTGAATCTACAAATGATTTGAACTTTGAAAATGCTGACACCGTAAACAAAGAACAAGGTATTACTTGAATTCTTAATAATATTACATTTTTTTTTAATAAGTTCTCTGATTTTTGTTTTTCAATATTTTTTTTTCATGACAGCTGCTCCACCAGCAAGTTCTGAGCCTAAAACTTACGCTAATTTGGTGAAATCTGGTACAGGCAGTACCTTATCATTTTCATCAGCTATTAATTCAACTCCTGCTCATAGTACAGGAAACTTCTGGCCGGATGGACAAGTAAGTTTGTTTTGCTTGAACTTGTTTCTTGGTGATGGCGTTATTGATACTATGCAATATTGTATCAAGCAGTTATTTAATGACTTTCGATAAAATTGGCACAATGTAGTCTTTCATGGATAGTTTACTAATAAGTTTTGAATTATTTATTCCCTATTTATTAAACTATTATCAACAATTAATATGTAAATGCATGTCTTTGATACTTGTACTATTTCTTATAGCTTACGACATTTATTTCAATATCTTTATATTTTTCTCTCAGGCTAATCGTAAAGCTGATAATGGCCCCGTTAGCAATGCGCCTGGACAGCAGCAATACTGGGATGTAAAGTCACCTAAAAGGCCTGCAGTTCAACAACCTAGAGCTCTACCACCACGTCCAGAAAGAGGCCAAAACGCTGGCTCGAGGAATGCAGCAGATGGTGGTAAGTAGGAGCATAATGCTTAATGTATTAATATTTTAAATGCGTAACTATAATGTGCACATGCATTGGGGATCTCCATATTACAGTTTTAATGTTCACTGTGTTATTTTGCAATAGTTGAATGAATGTTAAAAGTGCTATATTGAATTTAGATAAAGATCATAGACGAGGAGGTATGGGTAACAGCTCTCATTACAATGAAAGCTATCAACTGTTTCTGGGCAATCTTCCTCACAATGCAACAGAGGAAGAATTGAAGCAGTTATTCACAAAGTTTGGTCCTGTTCATGAGCTACGTATCCATTCGAAATCTGCAGCTACCTCAAAAATGCCTAATGCCAGGGTTCCCAATTATGGATTCATAACTTTTGAGGACCCACAATCTGTCGCTAACTGTTTGGCAAGCAAGGTACACATTTGATATAATTGAACACATTAATCACCATGTCAGTCATGTGTTTCTGACAGTAATATGTTCTACAGGAGCCATATCAGGAATATATTTAATAGGCCATTTGTCGAGAAAAAAAAGTTTTTAAATAGTCATGTCAGTCATATATTTGCGATAGCAATAGTATTTTTCCAGTAATTAGTCAAAAAAAAATTTTTTTTGATTCTTTTAAAATTGTTCTCTTAATGCATTTTTAACTGAATAATCCAATGAAATTAGCATGACTCATAGGAAAATTTTTCTGACATTGTGGTGATTAATATGTTAAAAAAAAAGTTTTAACTAATGTAATACTTACATAAGCAATTTTTATAGTGATTTCAGAATATAATAAATTATAAATGAATTTGTGTATAATACTAATTTATTTGTTGTATTTTTTTAAGGGTGTCTACTTCCCAGAAGGATCACCAGATGGACAGAAACTGAATGTTGAGGAAAAGAAACCTCGAGTTCGCTCTAACACTGAGTCACGAACAAACAATGATGCTTCTGGTCGTCAAAATCCACGTGGACCGGGTGCTGGCCAGAACATGGGAGGTCAAAATGCCCGTACTGGAGGTCGTGGGGGCCCTGGTGGTCAGAATCGTCAATCTGCGGGTTACCAACGAGGTAATGGTCAACGTGTTGCAGCAACTGGTAATTACAATCGACGTTAGTAAAACCTTGACAATGATGGAAAACTTTGAAACCACTCCTTTTGTTTCTTTAGTTATTGTTTCTTCCTATTTTTTCTGTAATCAATTTTAAGATTTATTGATTTGAAATTATTTCCTGTGTACATTATAATATATCAAACTGTTACATATATATTGATTAACATTTTGATCAGTGTCTTTAGTTTAATAGTAAAACCCACACTTTGATTTTAAATGCTGTGGGTTTCCAGAAGTCTTATTGAAATTCTTATGGGCTATTATGAATGTAATTTTATTTTATTAAGGTGAGTATGAGGATATGGAGACATATTTATTATGATTGCAATATGTCAAATAATTAAACAATAGATATTTTCATAATGTTGTTGGAAATAGACTGTATTCAATTGTAATGTTTGACTTTGGCTCGAGTTTCGATCATTTTAATTTAATTTTAAATCACAAGTCATAAAATTCTGTTCAGTGAACGATTAGTGATGGAATTTAGCAAAATTCTAATGTTTTATACTATATCATGTAATTTAATTAGATAAAATGTGTATAGTGTTCATAAGATACTAAACTTATAAGATAATCTAGTGATATTATGTAATGTAATGAGAGTCCATAATTTCAATATAAGTATCTTAGTTAATCACTTCATTTTTAAATGGCAAATTATAACATTTTATTTATGTAAATGCCATTGAAATTTGGAATATTTATAGGTAATATCATAATTGTATATTTGGAGAATCTGTGAAAGAGTTGATTTCATATTTTAGTGTATTGGACTATCTATAAGTGCAGGCAGTGCCCAAATAAACGTGATCTTTTTTATAAATGCAATTGTTACATTATTTCTTTTGTAAGTAATCGTGTGTTTTTATCACACAAATATTATGATGTAAATTTATATGAAAATGCACTGAGCAAGCGATGATATGTATTGTGTTAAAATGTTATTTCTTGCCATATATTTTTAGTGCAAGAGGGGTATTATTAATTTCATTTGGTAGTTATGTTTAAATTAATTTTTGTAATTTAAAAATCGCACTAAAAATACATAGAATTCCTGAGAATAGGTGTTTCAACATTTTAATTTGGAATACTAAAGATGTACTTACTTAATTTTAATTTATAATAATTTATGAACACATTGAATGGTAATTTAATAAAGTAATTGACTTTGAGTATCATAGTCATTACAAATTTACAAGCCTGTTTTGAAAAGCATTTTTCTTTTTGATGGTTCTATATAATAATTACTTGTATGAATGAAGACAATTTTTGTTTAATAAAACAAATTAATTTAAAAATATAACCAATTTAATGTGTATTTAGTATACAAGGTAAAATTTTAATACAATGACTTATTTCCTATTTGCACCCATCATTCACAAATCCTTAATATTCAGTTATATACTATAAAATGCACTTTTCAAGTTAACAGCCTATGTATGTATAAAATTGATAAAAAAGTTATAGATCATAGACTGCTTTTGGAATGCCATAATAAGGTAAGTAGTAATCTGCAAAATAAAATAATCATTATGAATGATTCGAATACATTTTTATACACAATAAAATTTTGGCAAATACAAGCCATTTGTCAAAAGTAAAATTGATTTGGGAATCACGACTACAAGGCACGAAATTCATCACAGCTTAATTCAATATAAAAATGTATCTAAAAAAGTTTCTTGTTTAGATTTTGTTGAGCAGCTCGTATCAATGGTGTTAAACTGCGCAGTTCCATGCAGTTCTTAAGGAATTTATGTTGCAGCAATTCATGTGCTGAAGCACGTTTGTCAACATCTACTTGAAGGCACCGATCTAGGAAATCTTGAAGGTCTGGGGACAGCTTTTCCCATCGAGGAATATTAGGCCTGCCATTTGCAGCAATGAGGTAAAGAGCCCTAAGAGGGGATTCCTTCAAATATGGAGGCTCACCTTCTAACATCTCAATAATCATAATACCCAATGACCAGATATCAACTTTTTTACCATATTTTTTTCTAGTGACTACTTCAGGCGCCATCCAATATGGAGTACCTACTAATGTTTGCCGCTTTTCATCCCCCACAATGTTAGCACAAAAACCAAAATCAGTAACTTTAACAGAACCATTCATTCCCAATAGGACGTTGTCTGATTTTATATCTCGGTGTATTGTTCCTTTGCTATGCAAAAAGCATATTGCTTTCAAAACTTCATGACAAACAGCTGCTATCTGGCCCTCTTTCATAATACACTCGGTAACCACATCAGTGAGGGGGCCTCCTTCCAGGAGCTCCATGATCACCCACAAATTGTCATGGACTAAGTAAGCATCTAAAAAATTAACCAAATTAGGATGATTAAAATCCTTCAAGACTTTAATTTCACTGAGTATTAATTCTTTTCTCTGCTGCTTTGTCATATCGATATCTTTTATAGCCACCTTCTGCTGGGTAACAACATCGTTGGCTATGAATACTGTACCAGAAGCGCCAGCTCCCAACTCTTTCTGTCGTTCAAATCTGCGATGTGGATCATCACGATTACATATGGATTTGAGTTCTGCAAAAACTTGCTCATCAGATAAGGTTGAAACATTCTTTCTACGTAACTCAGGACTATCGCCTGTAACATTTAAATTATTGACACTACTAGATAAATCATTTATTGGTGTGGGCTGCTGTTTATTGCTCCTCTTTGGCGGTAATACTGGAAGTGTATTGGTCTTACTAGGAAGTGCTGGTGGCGGTGTATTGGGCTCTGGGGGGATAGCTTTATTCGACTCTTGGCCTTTGCTTACATTTCTGTCGCCGACGTACGTATCGATTTCCACCGTTTCTTCATCAATTATTTCTTTCGTAACGAATGGCTTAAAGGGTTCTGTTGTGTCTTTTTTCTTAATGGAATAATTATAATATTTCACAGCTTGTATAGCAGCGTCTAAATTTTCATTTTGCTCCGCCTGCGTTATTTGATTGTTCATAATCTTTATCCATGATGTAGGTAAACCTTCCAATTTACCGGTCACTGCGTTTTTACTAACATGAAATTCATGCATCACGTTAGTTGGCAGACCAATTTCGGTCGCCGATCTATCCTTTGGATCATCCTTTGAATGTGATATTCTTGAGAATATCTTACTAAAACCTTGACTTATTGCACTCATTTTTGACACTCTGGTAGCTCCGTAGTGTTATATACGTTTTATTTTTTATATTACGTATTATCAACACTATCACAAATCATTATCACTTATCAGCAAAAGGAGTGGTCGGAGACCCCTTGGACTTTCTTTACTCGTCAACTCGTCATAAACATTTACGAAATACGAATGTCCATAGACTGCTTAACAATTTGACACATTTGACATACGAGATTACCACACGCAAACAAATGAAATCTGTCAAATTGGTGTTGCCGCACGTTACCTTTAAAACTTTAAGAGAAACTCTGCATCATAGATAAATAAGCTCATTGGTAGGCAGCGGGCAATTCGTGGTGCGCGCTTGTATGCGAAATTGCGAAAGGCATTGCACATTGCACAATTGGCTATGTGCGAAGGCATGGAAGGGGAAGTCAAATCGACCGAAGCGTTCGTTGTGGCTACTTTGAGCATTAAAGTAGGTCATTATGACAGAAATTTTAAAGAAAAACACATACCAATATTTGTTTATTTCAAATTTAAATAAGATAATTAAAAATGAGCCACCAAAGCTGTTGTGTAGTGGGTTGTAGAAATAAGAGCAGAAAAAGTGACTGCATATTCTATACATTTCCTACAGATAAGTGGAAAGAAAATCAACGGGAAAAGTGGATCGCGGTTAGAAGAATAAAGTAAGTATCATAACCTTATTGTTATAAAAATTCAATTTGGAGTACTATGAATATTTGTAAAATTGTTATGTTTAGCAAAAAGAAAAATTATAAGTCAATAAATTGTTATTTTATCAAAATTTAATGCTTACTAGAAAAAATTGTTTTGTAAACAATGTAATTAATACAAGGCTGAAATAATGATAAATATATATTTATATATTGTATATTGATTATGTATAACTATTATCTATCTATTAATTACATGTTATTATATAATAAATGTAATTTTATGATTGAAAGAAAAATAAAAGTTATCACATAGCGTAAAATGTTTATTTTACAATCAGTTTAATTAATACAATGCTGAAATAATGCAAAAAATATATTTGTAGTGTTGATGAATCACCGTGGGTTCCCAAGCCCTATGATCGCATTTGCAGTGAATCGGACGAGGTATTGAGCCCAACCTACTTGTCAACAATATTTCCTTCAATTTACAAGACTCGAAAAGTTAAAGTCGCTTTTTTTCCTGCAATTTTATTTGATGAGTCTTGTCTTTATAATAATGCCTAAATCATGTCTTTATAATAATGTCTAAGTCTTTAGTTTGACCAAAAATAATAAAAAAATGAGTAAATTAATTTATTATTTACTTATTCTATTGATAAAATATTTTTATCATTATTATATTGTTTTTATCAAGAACTATTCCGAGCTCATGACATAAGCTTTAAGGCACTTAACCTTAAAAATGTTTACTGCATTTCTTTATTAAATTAATCATTACACTTAACTATGTTTTAAGTGCGTTGAAGTAAATTTAATAATTTCAATAAACATTGAGCGTTCACATTATTATTGTATAATGTTTATTATTATTTATAACAATTATTTAATATCTTTTTTCTTTAACAAACATATAAAACCCATAAAAACCACACACTGATAGCCTTAATTAGTTCATATTTATTCCGGCGCTGCATGGGCGCTGCAGTCACGCTCTGAGCGAATACAGATGTCGAACCTGACAGTTTTCATTAACCGTCACGTGCTGTTTTAGTAAGGTTAGTACACTAACTATAAAAGTGAAATTTCTGTTGCGTTATCGTTATTTTGAGTTGTGTAAACGCGGTCAAATGTACGAGATTTTAGTTTAGCCAAAATTAAAAGTCACGGTTGTAATATGTCCTACCAGCTGTATAGGAATACAACCTTAGGAAATACGTTGCAAGAGAGCTTAGACGAATTAATCCTGTATGGGCAGATAACGCCACAATTAGCTATTCGAGTTTTACTCCAATTCGACAAATGCATAAATCAAACCCTTTCCAATAAGGTTAGGTCTAGATTAACGTTCAGGGCTTCAAAACTGAACACTTACCGTTTTTGTGACAATGTATGGACATTTATGCTTGATGATGTTGAATTTAAGGAAGTCCAAGAAATTGCTCGGGTAGACAAAGTTAAGATTGTTGCCTGTGATGGAAAGATTGTTGAAGGTGAAGGCAGCTCGAAAAGATGAAGCTAACCGATATCAATTAATATTTTAGTTCATCTTCTTTAGAAGAAACATGAACTTGTTTTGCAATTATTGTATTAATATTTATGTATAGGTAATAATTTACATAGACGAATCAAGTTGTTCTTGTACATACATTGTCAATATTTATTTTAATTCTGTATTTTATATAATGAACACTTAATAAACTATCTTTTTGCCTAACAAATTTTCTACATACTGTAGTATGTAGATTTATTTCTAACAAAGGATAATTCCAGTGTGGAAACAAATTCCATCATTGCCATTTTGAGTTTAAATATATCGTTGCTCTAATTGTCCTGCAACTCATGTAATTCAACTTCTATTCAAGGCAATAAAATCTGCATGTGCGATAGAAAGAACAAGATTTACTGAGGTCTGTCTCACCTTTATTTCTCGATACTGGCCATAGCATAAGTCTCTCATGAATTTTGTTTTCTTGGAGTTGATTTTGGAAATGTACATAATGCAAAAAGTCTAAAGAAAATACATAAACAAAATATTACCAATTACAATTATTACACTTACATGAGTCACTTTTGGAAATTTCATAAATAGATCAAAGTAATAAAATGTTTCATAACTTTTGTAAATATTAAACTGGAACTAATAATCAGTGTGTAAACATTCAAGAATAAAATTAACCAGACATGGCTCAAGATAAAAGTTGCAAATGTCTTTAGTCGATTATGATATTTGCTTTTTGCAGGCTGTCTGAATGTAATTGTTTTACATATTGCTGGTTTCTGAAATTAGATATCCAACTGGAAAGCGAGGTTTAGGTTTGACAATCTTATATTACAGAGTCGACTATTTGTCCAACTATTTGAATGTGGAATAGTATAATGTCTATATACAATGCCTTGCGCATTAGATTTGGGGTCACTACTTTCCAACAAAATTTGCTCAAAAGTGCTTCATAACATAATTTTCTATAATTATTGAACGTTTCTCAATTAATTGAATTGTTTAATGAATTGAATTAATGATTTAGTTTTACCTCTTTGAAGCCTATTGTTCTTCGAGAACAAATACATTTCTTGTTGCGGTAAGTTTCAGAATTGTTTTTTGTTGATCTCACAATTTTAGTTTTTGAAAAAAAAATCTAATGGAATATTTGATTTGCTGTTTGATATTTTTACGTTATTTGTTAATTTTCTGAAATGACGATTGAAATTTATGGAACTAAGATATGATAGTATTGAGGACTAATCACTGTAAATATAGTTTCTTTCATTACATGATATATATGTATAAATGTATACGTATATATATATATATATATATATATATATATATATATATATATACTAGCTGACCCGGCAAACGTTGTTTTGCTAAATAAGGTATATTCTAGACAATTTCTAGAGAATCAAAAATATTAATACTTTAAGTGTATAAGGATGTGTTGTTTGAATGCTATATACAATGAAGTATTATAAAAACAATAAACCCCATTGGTTTATCTATATTTTGTCAATACAATCAAACTGGAAGATTTATACACTTTCTATAGGAAACAGTATAGACCATCCAAGTCTTTTTTGGTCTTTCGACTAATTGATTACGTTTCAAGTTTTTCATATTGTTTTTGGATTCTGGATTTTGTGTATAATTGTAAATAATACTACTGAGTTTATACAAAATTTTCAAATTTTTGCGAGGAGAGATAGAAAATAAATATTTAAAATTCAAAAAAGTATTTCTTTTTTTACCTGCTTTTTGAAAAGTTTCAAGTAACATTCGGTGAAAAAAAGTAAATTTAATATAAAGTATATATGTAGAGCAGGGCGAGGCACAAAGGCCCAATTTGACTTTGAGCAAATGTAAACTATATTGTGAAAACCATAACAATTATATCACAGCAAATAACACATATCAAACGAACAATTATCTGAGTTCAGTAAACTGCCTTCTACTTCATCATTGTAGAAATGTGCTTTTTTGCCGTCTTTCAAAAATTTGTTATCTAGACCTTTTTACCCTGTAGGCGGGGTAACTTGAAACGGGCAGGTGGCAAAAAGATTTAAAGCCTTATTATAGTTTTAAAGGTATTTTACAAAATAATTACATTTTTAACTAATGCTTAAAAACTACCAACGGAAGAAAATACTTTTATTATGGGTTCTCAAAGATTACCGTTTATCTCCCCCATTTCAAAGATTACCGTTTTCAAATCAAGCTTGTAGCTGGCTATAAATCTTTTTTCCTCTACTTTCAAATATTGTTGTTAAACAATGCTTAACTTTACTGATTTTTGACAAATCGGTGGTTGGCCTTTTTAACCCCGGACCTTTATATATTACTATCTATTCTGCGATAAATTCTAGGAAATTATAACTGGAAAAATGTTATTCGACAAAAGGTCCATTTGATCGATACCAAATTTAGGTTCTGAATTTATATAACATAAATAAAAAATAATATAACCTAGAAAATGTTTTATAAATACCAATAAGCATATAATTATACAAATAAGATCTTTCAGAGCACCGTGTTTGAGAAAAATATGCCAAAAATGCATTTTCATATTAACATATCAAAAAAGTTTATATTTTGAATCTCTAGTAACACTTGGGGCCCGTTTACTAACGTTTTTGTATATAAATAAAACTACAAACAAAACTACTTACTACAAATTTATCACAAATAAATAATATTCGCGTAAAACATCCTATTAAACGTAATTGAACATCATCTGTCAAAAGCGTTTGACATTTCACGAAATTGCCACCGTCCATTGTTCTATTTAAATTACGCTTCTACAAAAATTTTCAAATTATAAATGTAAAGTTTCTACGCGGATTTGAAATAATTTCTCACCTTTTGGACATTCTCTGGATTGGCACGAATTTTTCAAGACTAAGACTGGCCAAATCGATTCAGCCGTTTTCGAGTTTTATTCGGACATTTGAAAGAGAGCTCCATTTTTATATATAAGAAGATATATATATATATATATATATATATATATATATATATATATATATATATATATATATATATATATATATATATATAGAGTATAGTATAGTATAGTATAGTATAGTATGAATAATACAACAGTTTGCAAATTATAATGGTATATTTAAAATATAATAAAGGGTATGTTTATATTGACTATGCACTTATAGAGGATATTGTTTATATTTTATTTATTAAACTTTACTGACATTCACCACATGGATTCTACACTGATATGTGTGTTTAAACAATGCACAATGGGAAGCAACGGAATATTTTAATCATACATTGATTGTCTATCTTCATCATAAAAATATTTGTCGAATCCACTCATTTTATCGTCCATATCCTTCTGCAATAGGTCCTCCTAGAATTGAAGCAAGTATGTTAATGCTGATCGGTTAAAAAAATTATATTACAAAGCCCAGTAAAGTAAGATAAAGAACGAATTGAATTTTTGACTGATTTTTGCATAAATCTTCCATTGTTTGTAATAGTTCTATTGATTTTTTATCTTTTGAATACTTATTGAAAGATTGTTATAATAAATGTACTTTTTTATGTAATATGATACATTTTTTTATGATTTTGATAATGTTAATTTTCAAATTAAAATGTACATAAATGAAAGTGAGTATCCAGATTTAGTTACACAATGAAAATTTTAAGCATCGAAAATCTGAAGTAAGAATTTAATTGATGGTAAATTATATGAGTAGCAATCTCTTCAAAATTATAGTGTGTTCTTCTTCTCTATTACGTTCTACTCACAAACAGTCACTAATTATTGTATAAGATTTTGTTAGGTGCATGAACCAAAACAGTAGAGTCAATAAAGGTTTTTCGCAGAAGGTCCTAAGAAACAGCTCCCATTGTTATTTAAAAAAATTTTTTTTTTTTTTTTTATTTTTTTTATGCTTTGGAAACCAGAAAAATCAAGAATATAATGAAATAAGTGTTTGAATCGTTTTCTTTGAATTTTTGAAGCATTACGAAAAAAGGAGCTTTTTTTTGTAAAAATTTGATTTTCTTTTTTTTTGAAAAATATTTATTCCATAGCAGTCAATTATAATATTATTATGTTTAAATTAATTTTAGGCGGTATACGGTAAAATTGAATTATTTTGGAAGAAATGGCATTTATGAAAACCGTTGTTTTTTTTTTATAAACCATAGCCCATAAATATTTTTTGACCCGCGCAGTAAATTTTCAAACTGTAAATATTGTATTATTAATAACAACTATACTTACAACTATTCTTAACACGAAATTTAATACACGGATATTTTTTTAGAAAAAAAAATGAATCGAGAACTTACTTTCTTATATAAATAAGTATATACTGCAATAAAAATAATTATTTCCTCCCTTTGAAAGGTTTCAAATTTAGAATGCTATTAAAAAAAATTACGAAATCGGAGCTGTTTCTGAGGATTGTTTAAGCTTACTTTTTTAAAATTTTCAATCGTTAATTTTAAAAATAATCATCATGGAAAATCCGTGCAAAAAACTTTTTTTTATATAATTTCTTTATGAAAATCTTTATTTCCTGGGCTTATTTTCGTTAGCGTCTTATACAAATTTCGAACATGCTTCATAACATTAAGGAAAAAATCTAGTATTTTAGTATAGCTAAATGGATCTTTTAAGCGTTATATTTATTTACTAATTAGCAATTCGTTAGTAGAGGTTGCACTCAAATATACTTTAGAAAACTTTGTCTGCATACCATTCTGTTAGAGTAATAACAAGGACGGGATAACGTTTATGAATTACTATGGATAATTTGATAATTTTATGCGTTAAAATTCATAAACGTTCTGGAGATTTTGGTTACTATGTTAAAGGAATTAAAAGCGAGCACCTTACACATTACAAGAATTTAGTATAACTGTCTATCTAAATTAAATTTAAAAAAAATTTCATATACACAGCCGACAATATAACTATTTATACCAGCAAAACTTGAGGCATGCACTTTCCAAAATAGGTTCAGGAGTTTGAGGCGCTTATATCTACAACGCAATACATACATACATTTTTTTTTCACGTAAATAACTATATATTGCTGTATGTGTATATATATTTACATTTGTACACATAAGACGCCTTTATCCAATAACAATCTATATTAAATACTTTCATAAATTATTTTCTCAATTTTCTACTGTTAGTAAATGCTACGAAAGGTCAGTTAGTGCATCGCGTGTTAGTAAATGTTACAGAAACTGAGAATCTTACTGTCATATTTTATTTTTAACAAATTTTTCATCCATGGGAACCTTTGTTTTGGTTTGGAATTCTTCGCCCCATTTTGTTGTTGTTTTCTCTGTAATTATCAATTAGTATACGATATTTAATGATGCTACTTTACAAATTTTAAATCATATCACTCTGTAAGCAATGGTATGCAAACGAGTTTCAATAGTACAAATTATACATAAACGAGTTGACAAAAAAGCTAAAATTATTTTTTCATTATTATACTATTCAATTTCTATTGCATAACAAGTTAATTTTTAGTTTGTTTTAGTTAAAGATGAAGAATGGCTATTATAAATTAAAATCTCGATAATATTTAAAATAATTACTTTGGAATTGGAATAATAAAACTTTTGCTCATGAGACCCAACAAATTTGCCAGTAATTATTAACAAATTCCATTTACAAACTTTTAAGTGATATTTTCCGATAATAAATATATATCATTTAATTATTAATCAAATCACAACCTTCATAAAAAGGTCTTGATTTCTCTATCGATTCGATCTCGAAAAGAATTTGTTTATATTAAAAATACTAGGTTTCTCCTATATTTCCATAGTTATTTTTAACCTATTTTTAGGCTCAGAATATAACGTCATTAAAACTATTTAACCCTCTCGCTACGAGTGTCGCCTATAGACGACATCTAGTGTGTCGACTTTTACTTCAATAATTATGACTCTGTGTTAAATTAATAATGAATTAATGAGGATTTTAATTGGATTTATTCCTTACAATTAGTAGTAAAATTTATAATTTTATAAGTGACACAAAATTTATAATCTTGTAATAGTGTCACTCCTGCGGGAAACACTCTCGTAGCGAAAGGGTTAATAAACTCCATAACCTATTTGTTTTTCATAATTATTGAGTTTATATACGGATTCATGAGCTTCGACTTTGAAAGCATTTTTAGTCCAGCTTAAGACTTGTTCACACGACGCTTGTTTCGTTGCTTTTTTGGTTTGCTGGCTAGCATGCTGATTATCAAGTAGGCAAAATGATCTTCATTTGTTGCCAGCAAGCGAGATTTTGATATTAAAATGTGCGCAATTTATGTGAATGGATCATAGACCTATGAATAAAGCCCGAATCACACTACATTTGTTTTTTGGGCTGGTTACACAGCATGCTTGATTTTTAAGTGTGATTTGTTTTAGCTTGCTTGATTTTTGAGTGAGATTTGTTTTAGCTTGCTAGATTATCAAATGTTATGAATCACATGACTAAATACTGCCCATCGAATTCTAATATTGTCTAGGATACTGCATCCCTATTGGTTCGCACGAACACATCCATCTACAAAAATAGCGCACATTCTACTTTTTCCATCACGACAACCAGCATGCTAGCCAGCAGACCAAAAAAGCAACGAATCAAGCTTCGTGTGATTAGGGCTTTGAAAATGCGCTGTGGATGAATTCGATAGTTCGAACCAATAGGAAAACAGTATTTTGACATGTGCTTTATCATATTTGAAAATCAAGTATGCTAAAATAAATCTCTCTCAAAGCATGCAAGCTTTCTCATATCGTGTGCAACTAACGGCTTGAAATCCATCATGAAATCTAGCGTCGTGTGAAGAGGGCTTTATATATAGCGAATTGAGACTAAATATTTGGTTTTAATGTAAAAACTACGTTTTGGAGAATTGTAACATTTGTAATTACTGAGCAATTTAGTACCACATACTAACTTAATAGCTTGTTTCAATAACTTTATAATTATCATTGCGTTATAATTATCCTTTTTTACGATTCTTGCAATTATTAGAAGTACTTGCTGTGACTGCAAGATCATTATTCACCATCATTTATGTTGAGCACTGTATGGCGTGATTTATTCAAATAAACTATGGGGTAGATTTATTAAAATCAAACACCAAAACGCAAAGCATTTTTTCGATATATTTACGAGACAGACTATAATTTATAAAAATAAAAATAAAAATACATTATGTTGTACATTTTTTTTACAAGTTACAGTATCCTTACCAAGGCAGTTAGCTTGAAATCGACGCGTTGTGCTGGCGCATGTTCCTTTGAGGTAACCGTCACGATTTTCGTTTGAGGCATGTAACCCGTTTTATATGCGGTCACTTCATATTCTCCAGGCGTTAATAACCTGTAATAGTCGCCACGATACACTGAAAGAAATTTTTGAGATATAGTAACAATTAACATATTGCAAATAAACTGTTCAATACAGTGAAAATATTTGATGTTTGGAAAAATAAAACAAAAAACAAGATATAGACATTCGTGCAAAATTAGTAATATTCGGTTCGATTCTGAAAAAACGAAAATTAGCATAAATCCATTAGTTGCACCTGGATTCTGTTCACGAGTTTTTTTTGAATTGCAATTTATCCATATTACGAATTTATTCAGTACTAGTTTTGGCAGCTTTAGTATATGAGTTGTTTTTAGCAGGCAACCTGTAGTTGTGCAATCCTAGTTGTGATTTATTATGACTATACTTAATACTAGTTTTTGACTTCATTATTTGAATGCACCTGTGCCCACGAACGGTGACCTCACGTGAGATTATTTCGAGATCTATAATTTCAAATTGAAACTTGATATAATGCTGTCTGATATCGAGCTGGCCAAGTTTCACCCGGGACTAGTTTGTGCTAGTACGCGCCCTTAACGTTTTCGCCAAGGAGAAGGAGATAGGGATTGAATATTCAGAAAAACAAAAACAAAAATGAAACAAAAGTATTTAAATTTACTTAAAGGTTGGTTAATTTAAGTTAAAATTATTTAATAAATGTAATTTTATCTTATAAGGAAAACCCGCGCCTTGCTCTTTTGGTATGATGGTAGATTTTATGCCGAAACTGATCGGCGTAAAATATGAGAGGCATATCAAAAGTGGTTTCATTATAAGATTTAAGTAAAATTTGCATTCACTTAAGCTTGCAACGCTTTAGAAAGATTCAACCGATTTGCATGTATTTGCGCCGATTTTTGATGATGGACAGGTGCTGCCGCTTTATAAATAGCGCAATTTTATTTAAGATTTAGAATTTGATGTGTATGCATTGTTTTGATTTTTAATTTAATAATAAGCTTAATTAAATTTTAATTAAAAGTTGGCTTCCTAAGTGGATCAATTATATCTATTCCTGTGAAATGTACGTAAACATTGTTATGGCGACTTGACTCCTCTACATCGATAATTTTTCGAAAATTTCGAAATTTGGAGCAAAACATTATAAAAATAAAAATTGTAAATTTATTTTCGAATTTCTAAATTGCTCGTTAACTTCATTCGTTTTCGATACCATTTGTACTAACCAGGAGAATTTTAGATTTACTCTTCTGGGATTTTGATATCACTTCGCATGGTGATAGAGTTGATATTCTCAACTCTAAACCTCATAAAATATTATTGGCTTATGAGAAGTGATTTAACTATGATATTATTAGATATAATGACGTTTGCATGTGCGATTCCAAGTATCAATAGTCCATTCTCTTACCTGAAGTAACATCATGGTCAATCTCATGTCTCATGCCATCGGTGATGTTCGTAACATGGACCACAGCATTTGATATAGGACGCCCACGAGCGTCCGAAATTAGTCCTTTGATACCTATGTGAGATTGCCAAATATAGTGTATCATTGCCTCACGATTTCGTTCCCATTCCTTTTTCAATTCTGAAGCTGGTGGGTACTTTTTGCATCCCAACTCGAGAGTGATTTCGTAGTCATTCGATGATAGGTAGTTAAAATCTTGCATGCCTCCCGATACGCTGTACCTGAAGAGAGTAAAAGATTCTAAATTGTTATTTGGCCAAAATTAGGATGAAATTTTAAATTACGAAAGATTATTATCGTTAATTACACGAAGGAGACATGTATGGTTCTCGAAACGTGCAATTTTGAATAAAGTATGTATGTTGGTATTATTATTATTACCATTGTGCTCCATTGACGATTCCTCCATTTTCTCCGAAATTAGGCCCATCACATCCACTTCTCGTCTTGGACGCCATGTCGGCATGTTTTGTCGCATATGACAATGCCTAAAACAATCGATGTCGGATTAAATTAACATACAACGGCCGCAAGAATTCAAGAACAATAGAAAATGATTATATTTTTTGTTGTTTTGCTAATGATATTGCGATAATCATTATAACGTAATCGAATCGGTACATTATAAAATAATTAATAACGCAAAAGGTTAAGGTTGAATTCATAAGAAGTTAAATATTCATGTTGCGAAAGACTGAAATTCTTGTAATTTTTATCCATACAAATGAAGATGAACATGAGAAATGTATTATTACTTACCAGATGTCTGAATGTATTATCATCTGGTGTTCCAGTATATTCATCATAGTCAGCACCAGACCGACTGCTATCGTATGGATAGTTTGCAACTAAGTCTCCTCCATGCATATTAGCAGATAAAACAAATGGCACTTGCATTATAAGACGCATTACAGCTCTCGTTTCTGGTTGAAGCTAAAAAACGAAAATATCATAGATATTGCAAATGTGTTAGCTAAATCACGCCGAAAACTTACTGGTTCATTTAATCTATCGACCATAGTTAAGTGGTGATTGTTGAAGTCGTGCGTCTCTTCATTATCAAACATAATCCTATCGAGATCTGGGAAGTTCCTGTTGAGATCTATTGATCTATTATTTGATCGACCTATTAAGTAATCTTTTCCGCCCTGGAATTGATTACAACATTAAAATTTAAATTCAATAATTTTATTCATTCATATTTATATAAAGAAAAGCTTCAGTAATTTATCTTGATGCATGTGATGCACCTATATTCAATTTAATTTATACGGTTAAAATAATGTTTTAACTTACGACTTCGGTAGCAGTTTGCCATCCATCAGGATTCATGCTGGGCATGAGATGGATGCGAGTGTTTGCTAAAAGTGTCATAAGATCAGGATCACCGGTGCGATATCCTTCACAAAGGTGATGAGCTAAACCTAACAGTAACTCTCTTCCTAATACTTCGTTACCATGCATGTTTGCAATGTATTTGAATTCCGGAACAACTAAAAGAAAAGGAGAAGGCAATGTTTTATATTAGGCTATTAGGATATTAGGCAATTTCTTTGCCTTGAGAGTTTTTGTAGTTTCATATTTTTGGGATAACATCTAAAAAATCTTTGAATAAATTTTAAAGTAAACTGGTAAAAATCATCAACCGACGCTTACGTCCTATAAGTTGCTGGGCTAAAACTTCTCCTTTCTTCGTATTTTCAGATGGTAACCCAATGGATAATCCATCCATATTTGATGATTTTATTATTACAATTTATCTAATAGGACTAACTATTTATTGGTGCAGCAATATCGGGCAAGGGCTATTTTCACTTGGAAACCTATTGCTATCTATAATTTCAGATGAAAATCGTTGTCACTGCTGCCTGACAACAGGTTGCTCGAAGTGGATATCGAACCCGGGATCTATGAATCAAGTCCCGTCGCTCTTAACTGCTTATAGGTATTCTTACGGGAAGGCCAATTATGTTTTATTATTATTGCTATTGAAGTAGCCAAAAGGTTAGTGATTTATAATTGGTTAAGTTGTATATGCAATTGTGGTAGAATAAGCTTAGCCAGTGTAATTTTTTTTGAAACCAGGTGGTATAGCGAAACCACGAATTTTCTAACAATACAAGTCTTGTTAACATCGTAAGGGACTAATTCTGCCGCATAACAGAAAAATGTTATGGCATGGTAAAGTTACGCTCCAACTTCTATTATATACATTATGCTACTGAATCATACTAAATATTGTCAAAATGTCATGTATTTGCTGTGCATTCAGACAGTTTTACACATAAACTGCAACGTCACTCGTATGTTATGAAGCTTTGTCAGAAAAACCCTGTTATCTAAGATCGTTTTTTTGACATTTGTGCGGTTTCTAGGTTAGGTTTACTATCTGATAACCTGAGAAAAACGCCTGGCTGCACAGCAACCACATTGCTTTGTCAATATTTAGTATGGATAGTTCTTCATAACATAGCCTTGCCATAACATTGGGTTGTTATGCAGCAGAATTGGTCCATAAATTACATGTCATAAAATATGATCGAAGCGAGGTTTTACTGTCGTATTTTATCACAAATCTGTTCAGTTTTGCTTTAATATAATTTGCAGAATTTATAATATTTCTTCCTCTATCCAATTAAGTTTTTACATGTCCTTGCCTGAATAATTTATTTCAATAAAAATAGCGAAATCGTGAAGCTTGGCTGCATTTGCAGTCATCAATACTTTATCAAGATATCGATTACCATGGCACTAATGGATAAGTTCGATACACATAAAATAACCATCACCATGTAGATTAAAAATAAATAAATCCGTAATGAGAAATCAATGTTTTCCTCTGAACTCTACACCCACGCTCGTTAATGGCGGCAATGCTCCATCAACGGCTCGGATAAATATACAAGAATTTATACTTGTATTTTTATCAAAAAGTATTTATAAGTGTTACAGAAATATGATTTATATAAACTGCTAAATAATTTCTCTTTGTGCAAAGTCAGTCTCGCTCTTAAATTACGAAGAATATTGTGTTTAATTTATTCTATGAGAAGTAAATTTAAATTCTGATTCTCACTAACTGAAAGTTTACAAGAAATGATGAAATAAATACAACAATACACGGCCTAAATTTAGCAGTTCTGGCACACTTTGTTATAATAAGCAGATATCGTGTAGAGACAATTGCATTTGCATAGCAAATTTATTCTTCAAAAAACCTCTGAATAAAAATAAGGACAAACTTATTTTTAACCAGTTAGCTGTGATTGACCAGTATGGAGAAGTGTATTCTCGTCATAGTCATAAATCTTTGTCCATTGACTTAGATTGCAATTTTTGGAAAAAGAACCACATCATGTTCTAAAATTTTAAGATATTTAGAATATTTTGAGTCTGTGCCGGTAGATCATAAATTGTTGTAAAGAACATCAGGATGTTAACATGTTTACAAAACAAAGCGCTGCAAAGCTGTTTTAGATACGAAGTATGGAAACGTGTCGCAGTCTGAATGAATAAAATTTGTACTCATTATTAAAATTTCTATAAAACATTAGATAATTTGATCAGAAAATCGCTTGATTTGTGCTTTCGAAATCGTCGACGATAAATAACTGTATCCGCACATACATGCATATATACTACACACACACTCACACACACATCTATTTTTTCCAAGGTATGCCAAAATGTTCAAAAGGGTTTGAAAGGTGAAGATATGTAAAAATGTTCATTTTCGATTTTTTGCGATTACTATAACTTACCCTACAGGAAGTTAATTATGAATTAATTAAAATTTAAAATGCTTGTCGCATTTTTGATTTTTTGTGTTGTATGGAATACAGCATAGAAATCGCTTGGCTTGATTTATAGTAATATTGTTCCGTCTGTCTGTCTGAAAGTGCTTTCTACAAAATCGTGACTTTTCCATTTCGTCGTCGCTTTATCACAATGTGAATGTTTAGAATTTCATTTTGTATCATATTAGTATCGTATCTTGTTCGTAGTTATCATTACCTATGATATTTATGAGATTGAGATTGTTTATAAAGTTATATTGCTTTCATGCAACTAATAAGTTAATGGCTTAGAGAAAGTACTAAAGTACATCTTGTAGTTGTATATATGTATATTGATCAAGAAATTATGATTATTATTAACTTCCCGTAGGGTAAGATATAGTAATTGTCCTAAAATCGAAAATAAATTTTTTTCAATACCTTTACGTTTCAGAGGTTTCTGAACATTTTGGCATACCTAAGAAAATGGATTTGTGTGTATGTATGTATGGACACAATTTTTAGTCCACGATTTCGGGCGCACGGATCAAGCGATTTGAATAATTAAACATTTGATTCCTACTGATGGGAAGACGTGCTAATTAGTTTTTGGCAAAGACAGGTTCAACTGTTTCGTAGATAAGGAGCAAAGAGTGTAGAAATTAGAAATTAAGTTTTTGAAGGAACTGACCATTCGATTAAAAAAACATTCAATTTTTAATGATGGGAAGAAATGGTGATTTGTTTTTGGCAAAGACAGGTCCATCCGTTCCGGAGATACGGAGCTAAATGTGCAAAAAATGATGGTTTTTGAGAGAACAAAGCATCCAATTTGAATGATTTAGATAACATTTTGCTTGTGTTGACAGTGTGAAGAATCTTTTAGTGGGGAAAGCATTTTTTTCTCATTTTTTTAATTTATTATAATTTTTTTTAACACTATGCCGTCCGGCGACACCACAGTGGTGTCGTGCGCGAACTAACGCTCAACAGCCGACGACACCACAGTGGTGTCATGAGCACAGTATCTTCCTTTGGCCAGTGGCAGAAATCTTCCCATCCTGTTGGTGTTTTAATTTAGATAACAAAAAGTTACACCCGTCAACATAAGTAAGACCTAAAAATTTTTAATTTTTCGATAATATCCAGAAAGGGCGGGGACAAGCAAAATGATAACGAATTAGCACTACCGGCGCCAAGCGAATAAATTTTTACAAGACGTGCGGACGGCAAAGTGTTAATATCGAAAATATTTAGAATTTTCAATTTTAATTCTAGCTAAAATTCTAAAGCTCACTTATGTACTTGAAATAGGGGAGCGTTCATTAATAACGTGACCGATTTTTTAAGGATTTTTGAACCCTCCTTTTCCGTTGGTGATACGCGGTGATATTAAAAATTACCCTCTCTTCCCCATCAAACATCACGTGTACTTTTAGTTACGAGAAAAAATGTTAATTTTTTTAATTTTTTTTAAAATGCTTGGATTTTTTTGAAAAATTTCAGGTCACGATTTTGTAGAAAGCACTTTCAGACAGACGGAACAATCTTACTATAATAGAAACCAAGCGATTTCTATGCCGTATTCCATATAACACAGAAAATCAAAAATGCAAAATTAATACACCTCATATCTTACTATACCTTTCCTTCCCCCACGTGATATTTTGTGATTTTTTGTCAAATCACCCCTTACCCTAAAAATCTCACGTGATTAATGGACTCCCCATAAACAATTTTAAATTTGTATTTCAGTTTATATAATTTTTAGAAATATGAGATAAGGTCTTTCATTCTAACTTCGCTTAAGTTTTGTTTATTTACTATTTATTATATAAACGTTATCGTCTAATTTATAAGCTGTGAAAGCTTTTGTCTGCAAAATGCTAGTAATGAACATTACAGTATTTATAATAATCTATTTGATAATATTTAAAATTCCACGAATATTCCATTACCGTACGGAAAGTACCAGCAATTTGCCTTAAGGCACGATGCCATGCACCACTAGTTATAACAGCTATTATCTCGAATGTTCAGAGAGTAAAATAAATTAATTTATCCATGCATACACGATATGGGCATTAATATTTACATAAAGCATATTACATACGCGGTCGATGCTTTCCCGGCGTCATGGCGAATTCTATGACGTAGAGTGGTACCCCTCGAACAGAGGCCTCGCTCAGCGCGTATAACCGCGTTATACCAGGACATCTCTCGTGGATCGCTTTCAGAACTTCCGCCAATTCCTCGTTATTGTGGTGTTTCCACGTGAAATCCTCTCTGGTGGCCACGGAAGCGGCGGTGGTGAATTCGACGACGTGACCAAAGCTGGCGAGCGCGCACAGGAGCGCGACCAAGCGCAGCGTCGGTGCCATTTCACGCTCACGTAGGCTCGCTCGCGCTGGCTGGAAATTGAAAATAATATACAATGATGTCGTTTTTACATTTTACATTTTACATTTTACATATATCACAAGTCTGCGCTTCAGAAATAATGGTACAATCAGTGACATCAGTTACGTAGAGAACAAGTGAAAGTATAGCGTAACAAGTAGAACCCAGAGCGTTGAGAATAGTTTTGATTTTATGAACTACCATGAGAAGACAACTTCGCTGATAAAAAAAAAACTTACGTTTGAGATTATTATAATAAACATCAAGCATAATATTGATTGTAAATTGAAAATAGCTTGTACTATGATATGATTTTAAATCCCTTTTTTTCTGCAAAAAGGCAGAAACTGGTCATCATGTCGAGATGCCCGAAAGAAGTACTCTACATTAATCAACTAATCTAGTAAATAGCGATAGTGATTTTTTTCAACAAACATTAGCTGTGACACAGACAAATGGAAAATAGGGATATTTTTAAATTCAGCTCTACAACCTAATATAATTTCAGGCATCAAATGCTGTCATGACAATGTACTGTCATAAAATGTAGTTTTATTACATGATCAATACGTGTAAGAACAAATTTCTTTCTACAAGAGGAAATACGGACAAATAAGTGAAAATGTACAAACCGACACAGTGGCCTTAATTAAAAACTGGCTAGTTTTTAAATAAGGCTACTGTAGTTTTTAAATAACCTTTTCGCGTTTGTCAAACGTGATAAAAGCCATAATCACAAACCGGTCAGATGTTGAGCGTCATTGCCAATTTATTGTCGCAGTAATCAGTTCAAAAGTGTTTCGCTCTTTCAAAAGTTTATTTTGGGAGCGTTTTTATCGTGTTTTTTGGGGCCTTATTTATTGTTGTTTGTAATTATTACTTTTATTATGCCAGTACTAGTTATTTCGACCAATTTTATTGATGGAATTTTGCTTAATTATTCATTTATGACCAAAATGACATATTTATACAACGGACAAAATGACATAGTACTATTTTGCAAGAACTACAGATAATATATCTTGTTCCAGGTCAAGAAAGAAAATTGGAATCTATCAAAGGTGATTGGCTTCCTTAACCTTCTTCTTTAACTGCTTTTAAAAACAGACGCAAACATCCAACGGTGAAAAGCAGAGACTTGCATTGATTGCAAAACCTAAGGTTAGTTAAGATGTATGATTTGTTTCCTTTGGTCTCATGCTTCATATGCCAATGTCCCAAAGAGGACCAAATGATTTATTTGTTATCTGCCTTCTTAGAAATTAGTATCTCAGTATTATCTTATCCTATAGGTCATTTTATCCGCACTATACGAATAAAATGATTTGTGCAATTGTTTGCATTATTTATTATTCCTACCTATGTTATTATAGTTCTTACTTCAATAAAAAACTATATTACTGGTAGTCGTCTAAAATGAGTAAAATGAAAATTGGGACTGATCATAATATCATTAAATAAATAAATGTCATTAAAAAACAGTACACCATGTGATTTTGTCCATAACACTTCTACTTATTATTCTAAGCAAAATGGATAATTTACTCAAGTAATTTTGAATGGAACACAAGATGATTTCATATCTTTAATCGCGTACTTTATATCTATATGACACTTTTATGACGTTGAGACTTTCGACTGAAAGTGGAAGACTGTGGAAATATTCAGGCTGTTTTGAGAAATTTGCCTTATGTTTTATGAATAAACAAATAAACGAAAGATGGTGTATAATTTATGTATGTATATATATTTATATATATATATATATATATATATATATTATGAATATTAATATACCTATTTTTAATATGTATATTTGATTATTATATTCACTATGATCAAAGTTAGTAGTGATCTATATTCCTTATTCCTTATTGTTAGCTTGAGATAAATCCAGAAATAAATTAATTCCACAATTGACGTTAGCAAATGCAATAGACAAGAGTGGGCAATAATTACTATCATTATTCGCCCTCGGCTGCATTTAATTATTTTACAATTTGCTTTCAGAGATATCTTACAAGAATATTATGGTCCAGCCGTTTCGAATATACGGGGCAAAAAGTGCCAAAAACAGCAATTCAGTTTTTGATAGAACGGAGCCGTCCGGTTTGAATAATTCAAAAAACATTTTACTTGTAAAAACAAATTGAAGAACTGATCAAACTTTTGGTACAGCCATGTAGCGAGAATGCTTTCAATAAAAAGTCAATATTTTCAAAAAAATAGAATATAAAAAAATAAAATTTTGCATAAAAAACATTTTTCTCAAAAATTTCTCAACAATCTAATTTTTTCAAAGTTTTCAAAAAATTTTAAAGCGTTTGAAATTTTTACATCACGCTACGGGAAATTCCAGCAACTTGCCTAAGGCACGATGTCATTGCTCACTAGTTTAATGTTCCATAATTATTGCTCATATAATAGTATACTAAAAATGACATAGCTTCGATAAAATTTAATTTTATTTGTTCATTAAGTCTTATCTAAAACAGTTACGTTATCTAATGTCAGTATATGAAAAATGTGCATATATCAATTAAGGTTTTACGTTGTTCAAATTAAGTATTTTGTTTAATATAATTTTATTAACAAATGACCAGCTATTGAAAATGTAAATAGAATAATAGAAATTGTACTCCTTCCGGCGACACACATTGTTCTGTCATAGTTGAAAAGTAAATAATGTGAAAAAATCAACACATTACCTGTCAACGGAACTAAATTAAGGCACCTCTCCTCACAATGCAAATTAGAATTTAAACAAATGATACACTACGCGAACAATAATTTTAAATAATGACACTAGACACTTATTTAATTTTTTACGTTAATATTTAGAAAAACATTTAAAACTGTTTAAACATACACTACATTGCAATTTCTTATTAAAAAAGTAATTAAAGTTATTTAAAATATTTTAAAATTCAGAAAAATTAAAAAAACTATGCGATTTATGCATTTTGTGCAATCACGCGGAATTGACTAATTGATATCACATACGTTCATTTGTTTTTTCATATTTTTACATATTGTTATATATACTAGCTGACCCGGCAAACGTTGTTTTAAACAAAATTTCTAGTACAAAAATATAAATCTAGTATACACGTTGTTGGGGCAGCTAACAAAAAATATTCCCGGGTCATATTATTAATCTTTGCAAGAGCCAACCAAATCTGAAACTGATTCTATTTAAATTGAATTGACACATTTAATAAATAGTTTTTTGAAGTAAAAAAAGTTCCATGTATTTTTCAATTTCAAATTATAGAAAAATAAAATAAAGAAAATTTTTAAAAAAATTTAGGTGTGGAAAATCCTTAATAAAATATTTTGAAGTAAAAAGAGTTGTCTGTATTTTTCAATTCGACATTGAAAAAAATAAAATAAAAAAAAATCACCCCAAAATTTAAAAATAGTGTTGAGCTTCGACCCTTAAAACAATACATTATTTTTCAAAGAAAAATTTAAGCTTTCTTTTTCAAGGTCAAAAATCTGAATTAAAATCATGTTAAAAATATTCAGTAACTGAACGCGCAAAAAAAAGATTGAATTATTAACCCTTTCCACTCAGATGCCGCAATTTGCGAGTTGAAAGGGTTGAAATGGCTATAAAAAGGCAGAAACTGGTGATAAAGAGGTAAAAACAAAAAAATCGTCAAAAAATTATGGTAAACAATCCTTATTCATCACTTACGGGTATGAAAAATAGATAGTAGCGGATTCTCAGGCCTACGAAATACGAATATAAAATTTGGTAAAAATCGGCAAAAATGTTGAGTTTAAGCCTCCGCTCTGTCAAACCTGACATCGGGCAGCAGCGATGTATATTTTTACTTGAAAATATAGATCTAAAACATATTTCCGATTGAAAATAAGCTTATTTCGGGCACTGTAGTATGAAATGGTAATAGGAAATTTCTACAGTATTATTTCCTGAATTGAGTTGGAGTTTAACTCAGCTCACGGACCTGCCCTATATATATAATACGACCACCCATATATATAATATGAGTTATGGGCAATGCTATGATAAAACGATATTAAATACTTTGAGCTTTCTGACGCATTAAGAGTTGTTGTTTTCCTTCTATATATTGTTTATTCACTAAATTTCATAGTTATCTAATCAAGTTTTTAATTTCTTACTTTATAGATTCACTGATGATGACTTTAAATTGTATGGCGAAACGTTTTAGAATTAAGGATTAATTTATAAACCTTGTTTTTTTATGTATCGCTCTAAAAGTTACTTACTCATATATCTCTACATCAAAATCAACTATTCTATCTATATATTATATACATAATTATACATTATCATGCAACATAAATTATGAAAACATAGCAATAAAGTACAAAATTTATCAACAAATATCTATTTGAATGTAAAGTCAAAGCAATAAGTGTGTTCTTGAACTTCAGAAACATGATGTTTCTATTATGAAAACAATTTAAAATAAGCAAACAACAATCGACGCCAACCAGGTGCGAAGTACTTACGGTACACCGAATTGATTTTATGTCGAATATGTATTTTATGACACAGAATTCAAACGAAATATTAAATAATGATGAGTAATTACATTGTATTATTAGTATTTAAGTTTATGAGTACTTACAGTTTTATTAAGCACAGTTAGATATAAAAAACTTGAATATTTACTATTTATTATGGCACATGTCAGCTCACCGAACGACTAATATAAGAACTGTTGAAATATTCCGAGTTCCCAACGAATACAGTTAGTTTGAATATTTCGACAGCAGCAGTAATGTTAAAATTACCATAATTTTTAATGCATATATATATATATATATATATATATATATATATATATATAGGGGACCTAGGGGCTTATTGTAACAGTTTTTTTTCAAGTTAGTTTTACATTTTTTTTTAAATTTTAAATAAAGATACATAGTTGCTCTAGCTTTTCTTCAACAGAATCAAGTAAAAATCATTTCACAAATGTTATTGTTACATTATTTCATAAATAATCAATTTCTTACCCCATGTTTGGGGCTAGTTGTAACATATACCGGAGCAAACAGTAACGACAAAAAAAACGACTATAATGCTTCAGATAATTCATTCTCCACTTAATTAAAAAAAATGACTTGTTTCTAAGTAAGTCTTTTTATACAAGAACGCAAACTATAATTAACCCTTTCCACTCAGATGCCGCAAAATTAATGAAAATCCCGGAATTAGCGAGAGGAAAGTGTTTAATACAAATAAAATATATAATGTCTTCTGTAATATAAATAGAAATAGAGTTTTTGAGAGAACCGAGTATCCGATTTGAATGATCCAAAAAACATTTGTAATGATTGGGTGATTAGTGTTTGGCAAAGCAGGTCCAGCCATTTCGAAAATAGACAGCTAAATGTATAAAAAATGGTAGTTTTTGGGAGAACTAAGCATCCAATTTGAATGATTCAAAACTTGTGTTGACAAAACAATTGCTTTTTGATAAAAAAAAATATTTCCTTTTTTTTTTTTTTTAATTTATATCGAGAATAATTCAGATTTTAATTTTATTAATATAATAATAATTTTATTTTTCATTATTATTAATACTATTATTTTAATTATTATTTATTCATTTATTTATTCTATTTATTTTCTTTAACTCCTTTTATTCTATTTTTTTTTCTTGATTTTGATTTTCAATACCATAACTTTTAACTTATAGATTGTATTGTAATCTGATTGTTAAAATTAGCAGAAATAAAAAAAAATAATAATTTTGCTAAAGTTCTATAGCTCACTTTTATACTTTAAGTAAATAATTTTAACTTTGTAATTCAGTTTATATAATTCTGATAAATATTAGTAAATGTTACAGTATTTATAATAACCTATTTGACAGCTTTTAATATTCCTCGAAAATTTCGTTATGGTACGGGAAGTTCCAGCAATTTGCATTGAGGCACGATGCCATACACCACTAGTTTTTACTTTAATCAAGATATCTAATAGATATTTAAATAGATATTATCTATTTAAACAGTTTAACAATCACACATATTGTTGCACATTATCAAAAATTGATAAATTTCAGGCAAATTATGATGTATAAAATTCAAAATTAGTCGATGGTAATAAAGTAAACCGAAATTTGATAATAGTACAATTTTATATTATATGTCAAAAATGACGGACCTGCACAGTTGTGTTTATTGCGTCGACAGAAAAAAAATTGAGAAAAATAAATTAAATAAAGAAATTAAAAATATTTTAATATCGTTGAAGACTCTATTGAAAAACGCATGTTACCTCTGTTACAAATAGCCCCTAGTTCCTCTACTCATATGTTTACATACAAATAATGTTATATACAAATTTTATATATACATATAATATAGTTTGTATATGTTCACTAATATACATATTTTAAAAATACGTCAACACTTCTTCAATAAACGGTGGCCAATTATTGTAATTATTGCCAGTAAACTGCACGATTCAATAAACGCGCGCATTGTTATTGAAACCAATAACAAGCGAACGGCGCTCGGTCGCATGAAACTTATTCTCAACGTCTGGACAAAATGTTAAACAACAATAATTTCAATCAATTTTAAACAATTGCACATGCACTTTATTAAACTGATCTTACGTGTAAGAAAACGTCGCAGTCTGCCGTATGAACAATGTGTTTTCAACTTCCAATGTCAGTTCACATACTGTGGCGTTCTGGGTCTATCAGCGCCGAGCGAGGGTTGAGCGACGCGAGAGCATGTGGGCGACGTGACGTCAAAGCGGAGCTATGGATTTTCGCCTGCCTGCGGGCGCTTGCGCCGGGCTCAGGGATTGTTCACCGGTTAACGAACGGCTAAATGATAAATGAATTAGGCGCGATTATGAAATCAAACTGATTTGCAAACGATGGCCGTAGTAAAAGATTTACGCGAATGTCATCTTGATAAAAAAAATTGTGGTGCGTGGCACTGTGCCTTACGGCAAATTGCTGGAACTTTCCGTGCCAAAGTTTTTTTTTTTAAAAAAAACGATTAACATTTTTGAAAACATTTTACTTTGAAAAAATTAGATTTTTGAGAAATTATAAATTATTGACTAAAATTGATTTTTTTTGAAAAAAAAAGACTTTTTGAAAAAAAAATGTTTTTATATTTTGAAATATTTTGGAAATTCTGACCTTTTTTCAAAGAAATCGTACTGCTTTAACTGCATAGAGATGAAATATCAAAGCGCGTAAGCGCCGCGTCGTTGTTTAACGATTAACATTGGTACGGAACCAATAGGAATGTAAACAAAATGTATACTTATTGTTAAAATCTCTATAAAATATCTGATAATTTGATGTGCGATCATTTTAGACCGCCAAATGACATTTTTTTTTACTTTTTTCACTAGATCTGCGAAACCGCTAGACCTGCTTTCATGAAAATTTAATCAAATTTTCATCTTGTCAATACAAGTGAAATGTTTTTTGAATTATTAAAATCGGACGCTCCGTTCTCTTCAAAACTGAGTTACGGTTTGTGGCACTTTTTGCCCCGTATCATCGAAACGGCTAGATCTGTCTTTGGCAAAAACTAATAAGCACGTCTCCTTATCAATAGTAATCGAATGTTTTTTGATTTATTAAAATCGGTTGAACCGTGTTCCCGAAATCGTCGATGATAATTTGTATCCGAACACACACACATATACACATACCTCAATTTTTTCTAAGGTATGCCAGAATGTTCAAAAACCTCTGAAACGTAAATATATATAAAAATTTCCATTTTCGTTTTTTTTGCGGTTACTATAACTTACCCTAGGGAAAGTTAAAAATTTGATTTTTTAGAGAATTCTGAAATTTTTCATAAAAATCGCTTTTTTGAAAATTTTGAATTTTATTTTAATTTAAAAAAATTCAAACCTATTGAAATCGGTTGATCCATATTGTCAAAAATGACAAGAACATTTATTTGAACTACATATATAAGTTAGTTTCAAACATTATAAAACTTGATATGAAACCCAATTCTTCATTCTTATTAATACAAATAAAATATTTTCTGAATCATTCAAATTGACGCTTTGTTATCTCAAATACTGAATTATCATTTTTTGCACTTCTTGCTCCAAATCTTCAAACCGGCTGGACCTGCCTTTGCCAAAAACTAGTCAGGATGTTAACCCATCAATAGGAATCGAATGTTTTTTAAAACATTCAAATCGGTTGATCTGTGCTCTCGAAATCGTCCACGAAAATCTGTTCCGCACTCACATATACACACATTCATCAATTTTTTCTAGGGGATGCCAAAATGTTCAGGGGGACTATGCAAAAAAATTTATTTTAAATTATTTTGCGTTTACTATAACTTACTTTACGGAAAGTTAATGAAAAAAAAACAGTTTTAGATATTTTACTCATATATCTCATATTAAGTTTAGCACAGCATTATTTCATTTGGTATTTGATTTTCGTATTGCAAGATTTTGTTACAAAAGGCACGATGAAATTTATTACAAATAGGACTGAAGTACATAGCGTTTACGTATGTTTAACCCCAAAAACTGTCTTAAGTACAATGTGTTTTACAACATAACAACAATATTTTTATACCGAAAACAAAGATATAAAGTGATTCATTTAAATTGGAAGAGCCAAATTTAGAAGCATTTGTTAAGTAAAAACAATATTTTTTATTTAAAATAGCTGCAACTCTTGGATCCAAAATAAATGAAATGAAATACTGTTTTTTTCGTATATTTTTCTTAAAAACAAACTTTAAATGGCTTACTCTGTAATGCTCTATAAGTTGGAACTATTGAGATTCTAAAACTTAAAAATAATCCAATGTATTCTGTTCTTTTAATAATTTTGATATTTCAATATTTTTTAATCTTAACTTTATTTTTTCGTACTTATTTATAAATATGAATGACTCTATCCATTATTCAAATCTTTTGTTATAAAATAACAAACGCTATTATCGAATATATGGAATTGTAGTAATCATAATATATTGATTGAAGTAAACATGATATAAAAACTACGGAGAAAATGCTATTGCTCATAAATGAATCATGGCAGATAATTTCTAATCATAATCGCAATATTTTGGATATGAAAATATGAAATAGATAAGATAATATTACAAACAATGATTGAATGTCCTGTTTAATTTTTATCATATTTTTATTATATTATGGCGTTGTTTATACCACGGCAGTTTTATAATTGTAATTTGCAAATTTATTATATATATATATATATATATATTTGTGTGTGTGTGTGTGTTTGTGTATAATTTAGTGTCACTTTTGTAAGAACTCAATATAATTCAAAATTAGATTTGAACATTTTACTTTGTTTCATATACCAGACTTATAAAAATGTACACCGCTCGGGCATATTCTTTTACATAATTTTATATACATAACAATATTTAGAAAGTTTATCTTCAACTCCATGCGACTTTGTTGATATCTTGACTATAGAGTCACATTTGTTTTCTTGCGGTGTAATTTCTGAAATTTATCAAATTAGTGGAACAATGCTTTAGTGCATTGTTTAATTATTTAGCTTGTTAACAATATAATTAGAGCATAACATTGCTTTGCAAAGTTTACAGCATATTAAAATGTTGTAAAAATCTCTATAATTATAATTTTATAAAGGACTAGGCTCATGGTGGCGATCACACGCCAATGGTCCTTGGATAGATTCTTGGCAATTACATAAAAAATATGAAAAAATTAATAGAAATTGAATTGTAGATATTAAAAGTAGAGTTTAAAAATATTTAATTTGAAATTAAATATAAATAGAATTGTTGAATTGAATTTGAATAAAAATTAGAAGTACAAAGAAAGCAAGAAAGATTAGAATTGGAGAAGATTAGAATTAAGTTGAGTTGAATTTGAATACAAAATTAGAAGAAAGAAGAAAAAAGCAAGATTAGAATTCGAGAAGTTCAGATTTAGAAGAAAAAGGAGAATGAAGGAATGAGTTGCAAAAAGCTAAAGATTAAATAGGTTATACCGCCACGTAGTATGAAATTTATTAAAACTCTCCTTCGATAACTCAGGTTGTTGGGTTATAATTTAACCCTTGTAGCTGTGGACTGTATTAAACACTAATTTGTTTGTATATTATGTATTTGTTGCAGTTCTAATTACAATAACCGATTTGTTACTAAGTTATAATGAAAGAAGATATATTTATTTATTATTTATTACACATGCTGTTTTGCGGACTTTACTTTTAGAAGTGTACAACTTGTCCCATCAAACTCTCCGCTCCCCCCTCTGCCAGGAGTAGCAACCGTTCCGTGTAAAAGCTCAATGTCATGAAGATTAACACCTTCATGGCCAATATAATAAAACGAAAATACGTCCGAACAGATAGAATAGGATATAAATAACAAGATTAGATAGATAGTATATAATATATGTGCAAGATAGTGTAGAATATATAAAGATGACATAGAATAATAAAATAAAAATGAAATATAATATAAAAAATAATACAAATATAAAAATAATAACAATGAAATGAGGTGGCTAAATGCTTTAAGTAAGCGAGGCCAATATACAAAAAAAACGTTTATTTTATATAACACAGTTTCAAGCTTGATGTCATATGGGTTTCGAGTTATCATTGAAATCATTTGCATTGATTTTATGAGATCTGAAATGAGCCATTGATTTTTAAGTTGTTGTTATTTGAAGCTTTAAGGTTTGCAACCCCTGTTGGTTTCCGAGTGAAACTCACGTTCGCTATTGGACACCTGGCCGTAAACAAGAAAAGTTTACTCGGGAAATTGACAACTCCGGCAAATGAGACCGTAAGCCGTTTAGCACTGCACATCATCTTTGTGTGGAGATGCGGGTGCCATGCAGGTAGCAATTTACTCGTAAATCCATCCGAAGTGGGATTTTTCGTAATAGAAATAGGTCATCTTCTCTGAGTTTCACCTTTTCTAGAATAAGATTTCTATTTATAAAGATATATGCTGGCAATCGAAATAATTTTCCACCGGTCTGAAATGTCTTGAATTTTTTATCATGGAATCGCTTAAATTGCTTTCGCGAACCGAGACTGGAAATATAAAGGTTCAGACGCGTTTAAATATTAAGATTTTATTCCCAATAGATGTTTCTTGTGATTAAGGTAAATTGAAAATATAGCTTAGATTTCTATTTTTAGATCATATTACCTAAAACATTAAAAATGCTCTTTATATTGATAATAGAGTCGGTTTGAATTAATATTTATGTTTAATAAGTTCTCCACACACCTTTCGTGTTTTCATATGCAAAACATAGCGATCATGATTATTTATTATTAAATTATCTGCCATGACTCATTTATGAGCAATAACAATTATTTCTCAGCTTTTAGATCAAATTACCTTTAATCAAAGTTCTGGTTACTAGAATTCCGAACGTTCAACAACAGGTGAACGTACACCTGTTGTTGTTGTTGTTATTTTATAACAAAAGATTTGACTAGTGGGTATGAGTTCATAATTATAAATAAGTATGGAGAAATAAAGTTAATATTAAGAAACATGGAAAAATTAAGATTATTGAAAGAATTAAGACTAAATTGGTTTATTTTTAGGTATTAGAACTTCAATAGCTACATTGCTATAGAGTGAGCCATTTAAAAAATATACATGAAAATTACATTAACATATATTACCTGAACTTCAATAGCTACATTGCTATAGAGTGAGCCATTTAAAAAAATATATATGAAAATTAC